TGTTTTTCCTCTGGTTTTATATTAAGCTTATTTCATCTAATGGTCTATTCAGGGGATCTTAACTTTATGTAGTACTTATTTATTTACAGTGATGGTTAAAGCTTGTAGGTATAGCATTCCTTAATCTGTTCCACCTTAAATGGTGCAGCTTCAGGCATCAGAAAGTGACTGCTGCGCCATTTAAGGTAGAATGGAAAACTCGAACAAGAAGCTGGCGAATAGGAAGCCAATGTGTCCTTCTGTGTATTAAGATTAGAAGTGATTCACACATTGACGGATCTGCTGATGTGTGTCTGATTTGTGCTTCTTGCGCTAAACTCAGTTTTAACGTCAGGTACAGACTGAATACTTTCCTGCTGGTCCAGATGGCTAATTATCACGATCAGTTATTAAAGAAATAAAAGCTACCGAGAGCAGTTCGTGCAGCCTAGATTAATCTGATTTTTTACTAAATAAATTTAGTGAAAATCAGTCGAGTAGTAATGAAGTTGTGGCTGATTTAATCCTGAGACTCTTCATCTCTCAGTACAAGTGAATTTGTTCACAAGCGGATCTTGACCACTCCAAACGTGGTGGACGCGCAGATGCATCGCCTCACATAGAGAATAACATAGCAGTGTTTACTGCAGAAACCTTGTAATTAACTGTATAAGTAACCTTTTATTGTCCAATTAGCCATTAGCATAGTGCTAATTTCCACTAGCGTCCCTGTAGGAATGTGTAGCATTGTTAGCGTCAAGCTAGCAGTGTTGTAAACATACCAACTCTGGCTCAAACACAGGCACGTGAAACAGCAGTAGAAGTAACGTAATCTTTAAGTACAGTTTTATTGTGAATCCACCCAAAAAGGTCTGAATTTTGAGGTCTGTTTCTCAATAATGTTGAATCACTCTGTTTAGCCTATTAGCTACCATCTGGCTTTATCTAGTGCAGCTTAGTTTCCATATATGGACTATATGGACTGGGGAGTGAAATGGTCTGTTTTGAAACTTTAACAATTGCTTGCATATTACTTTAATTTTTTTTTTTTAAATAAAAAAAGGAAACTAAAAGGAAACTAAATCTAGCATCATTGCATCCCTCTGTCTAATTACTTTGGCAGAGTTCACGAAACCCTGCCTGTGTGACGTTTTAAACAGTTTTACCTTGAATACACTTGAAGGATTTGAACTGATTAGATTTATTTATACTGTGAAAAAATCATAAAACTATGAGGATTTTTAGTTGTGTTCTTACAGAGCACTGTGTAATTCACTTTATATGTAGCCTTTTAATGTTCAGTTAGTGCTAATCTTCCATTAGCGTCCCTGTGAGAATTTGTAGTGTTGTTAGCGCCAAGCTAGCAGTGTTGTAAACACATTTTATACCAATTCCAGCTCAAACACAGACACGTGAAGCTTGTAGCAGCCAAAGAAGTACCATATTATTTTTTCTGTATGCAGTTTTACTGTAAATCCACTCAGAAAGTTCTAAATTTTGAAGTCTGTCTCTCAACATTGTTGAATCAGCTTGTTAGCCTATTAGCTACCATCAGGCTTTGTCTAGTGAGGGCAGAACTAAGTCCAGCTATGAAGAATATAAGGTGTAAATCTGTTAAAGAGGTCCTGCAACGGCTACTAGTGTTGTTCAACTTGCAGGGTCTTCATTTAGTTGCATTTTAAAGACAAGGATTTCAGCGGTAATGACAGATTTTTCATGCTGTGAATTGTGAAGCACGACGTAGGGACAAAATGCTTAAACAAATGTACACAAATTTTAGTATTTAGACCTTTAAACCATTTTTAAAATCAATACTTTATCTAGCAGAATGTCACTGCAGCTAATAGATTAACTTTGACTACTTTGATTATACATCTATACATATTGCATATTGCACTGCCACTTGATTTATACATCCATACATATTGCATATTGCACTGCCGCTTGATTTATACATCCATACATATTGCATATCGCACTGCCACTTGATTTATACATCCATACATATTGCATATCGCACTGCCACTTGATTTATACATCCATATATATTGCATATCGCACTGCAACTTGATTTATACATCCATAAATATTGCATATTGCACTGCCACTTGATTTATACATCCACACATATTGTTATGAACATTGTTATTGTTTACATTGTTAAGTCACTCAGTTCATTCACTGGACGTGACATGCACCACTGCATTGTCACCTGCAAAATATTTTTACGATACTTTCTTATTTTTGTACTGCACGTTGTGTTTTATGCTTGTTTTAGTATATTTTATTATATATCCTCACTTCTTTTTATGCATCTGTTTAATAGCACATGGCAATACTTTTGCTCTTGTTTTGCTCTTTACTGTACTTTGTGCTGCTGTAATAGACGACTGTGCCTCTGGGATTAATAAAGTAATCTATCTATCTTGATTAGAGTTTCGTCTTTAAAAGACACAATGGTGAAGGTGTAAGAATTAAGCTCTGTTTAAAACTCTTAATGCCTCTCATGCTTACAAGGGATATATAAAAGGCTCTGGAGAGGACCCCTGCTGGCTGACTGTGTCACTGAGATTTGTGGAGCTTATTTAAACACGCTCTCACGACATCTCCTCTCTGGAATGTCCTCCAGCCAAAGCCAAAGATCAGAGAAAGGTTAACGGCCCGCCAGTGGCTACGTGACTGCAGCAGCGTAATGAGTAAAAGCACCTGCACCCACAGGCCGGGTCGGTTAGACCTTCACGACATGGTTTAGATGCTTGTTTTATTTTATCTTGCATCGCATTTCTCACTCTTAACAGTGTGTAGCAAGATTGTGACTTTTTTTTTGCCCATATGGGCTTTTAATCTCTTTATCTTAGATCATGTAATGACAAAGCCACCGGTTTGGACAAGTTCACTAGTTTGGAAAACATCCAGCGTGCAACAGGAATAATTTCCACCTTGCAGAAACCTTTTTATTTTTTTTTTTTAGTGAATACTCTTGAAATTGGAAGCCCTTTGTCTTAAAGCTGGTATTGCTTTCACTGTAGCTGATATGAAAGGTGGAAGAATGAAAAGGGGAATTCCACCAATTTTATCAAAATTTCTGCATAATTACAATAAGATGTATAGAAAGTCAATCAGAGTGGTTTGGAGTGACATGCTACGTTCTATAGAACCTTCCCGAGAGAATTGTTCACAGTGGTGGTGATAGGAACTAGAAGTTTTAATGCCTTTAAAAGCTCCCTCACAGAAAGCTATTGCATGAAATGCTTACACAGCCCAATGGCTGAGACATTGTTCTACAATAGGTTTGAGAATTTGTTTTAATCCTTTTAAAAAAAGAAGGAAAAAAACAGCTGTCAAGCAAAATGGTACCCAAAAAATCAGTGGAATTCTCCATTAATGTGAGGTGCATTACTCAGGGATTCGTCCTTTGCTCAGTTAAATACGCTGCAGAGGTGATGTGTTTGCTGATGACTCCCTGCAGTGAAAGACAATAGCTTTGTATTCTGTTTCCATTTTAACTGCAGAAACCCCTGCAGTGTGTGATGTGATTGTGTGGTTGGCCTGATTTTCTACTGTGCATTCAGGTGCAGTTTATTTTTGGACACCGCTTTAGTTTCATGCCACCTACCACCACATTTAGATCATGTGAACCCACTGGATCCCCTAAATTTAAATACAGAGCAATAAAAATGATTCACTACCTCGACAATCACTTTAGACTCACTTTACTTTTGTTAAGAAGAGCTTGACTGAAATGTACAGTGATTCATGCCAAGGTCACTAATGCCACCTGACAAGCTCTTGTAACGCCATGGATAAAGTTCAGTGTGTTTTATTGACTTTTCGGATTTCAGTTTAATACTCAAATGTTGTCCAGCTGCCTCCATTGACAATGGTGGCAATTTAAGGGGCAATTCCACCACTTTTTAAATTAAAATTTAAATTTAATTAATTCTACATAATTAAAGGGCCCATATTATTTATTTGTTTATTTATTTATTATATACTTACTTACTTGTTTGTTTATTTATTGCTCTGAGGTTCACTTATGACATTTATGGTGCATTGTGTACTAAAAAACAGTCATAATTCATTTTGCCATGGCCATTTTCCAGCCTCTCTTTCTTAGAATTATACAGGACCAATATATGTAACTAACATCTGTTCTCATTGGCTGCCCTGTAAAAGCAGTCAAGGCTGAAAGACCCCTTGTAAAATAAGCATGAATAGCCGGATATGTGTAAATGCAATACTTTTCATGACATCACAAACAAAATTCAAAATGGGCTGTTTTTTTGCAGCTGAGTTTCCATATATGGACTGTATGGACTGGGGAGTGAATGATACATTTTGACATTTTAACATTGTTTACATACTACATAGATGTCTTTCATTTCACAAAAGTGAAGAAAATTAAATCAAAATGAAATTTTCTCTGATATGGCCCTTTAATTCTTTGAGATGTAAACAGTCATTAAGAATGGTTTGATGTGAAATGGCGCAGTGTAGAGAGATTTCTTTACAGTGGTGGCGACAAGAAACCAGAGGAACCAACAGAAATAGTACCATTTTGTTTACTGTTGAAAACCACCAGTGAACCTACGTGTCTTGTAAATTTTATACGTAATGTTGATGGTAAAATAGTGAAAAATCTGAAAAATAAATTTTCTTTGGGGACTATTTTGCCTCACAATGCCCAGTGTTTACCACTCCATCATTTATGGATTTTAGACCAAAATTTGTTTCAGACCAAAATAATGTAAACAATTTTTCAGGCATCAGGCAGCGTATCCGTTTCCTGTATTAACTTTCTGTGAGGGAGATTTTAGAGGCATTAAATTATTCATGTCTGATTCCTGTCACCACTACTGTGAACAATACTGACTCTTCTAGAAGGTGCATTTCATATCTTAGAGATTTATGATAATTAATCTTAGATATTTAAATACTTAATGGCCACATTATTGAGGATTGAATGATTGAATTTTGAAAATATTGTTTAACAAATTCTTCTTCTTTGTATTTTTTTTCAGTAATTAACCGAGATGGCGATGGATCAAGCCAGGTCCACCATATCAAAAATAGTAAGTCATGTTTGTTGTGCGATTTTAATGGAAAACTATTGTTTTACTGCCTAAAATCACAGAGTTTTGTACTTTTACAGTGAAACGAGGTCAAGATTCACGATCGCAGTTACATCATTACCAGCTCATTCGCTTGCCGTTCATGTAAATTCCTTTGAATTGTCTTTAATTGCGTGTTACAGTTTGTAGTTGAGGCCGAAGTTCACTTTAATTAATCAACAAAAAGCCTCAGTAGCGACTTTCAGTGTATCTGTTTCACTCACTCAGGAACATCTTGGGAGGGCTTTGTTACATGATTGGCTCTTTGGGGGTTTGCATTTGCGTTGGAAGCTAATCAGAAGAACGGACTGCAGTGGAAGAATTGTTTTAGGTCAGATGAAGCTTTGCTGTTTTTAAGTTTGCTGTGTGTCCGCAGTTCAACGGGGAACCTCGATCCTACACGCGCTTCAACCTCACCCAGAACATGGAGGGGGACAACAGTCAGGTGGAGATGAAACTGTCATCTGATATGGATGAGGAAGCCGAGGGGAATGGAGTTGGGGAGCATATGAACCACCACCCTCGTCCATCCCACGTCAGCAAACCCAGCCAGCGCTCCCCCAGGAACATCTGCTTTATGGGCATCGCCATCCTACTCCTCTTCATCATCGGTAAGAAAGCGGCTTGCTAATGATTTCTGCTTCTTATCAAGCCTGATTGAGCCCACTATAAATTCACAGTATGTCCAAAAGTATCCGGACATAGAAAAACATTCTGGTTTTCACTGTGTAGATCAAGGCATTATCACGTCTTCATTCAGTACCTGCAGCTATGAAACTTAGGATGATTCCACCCAAATTACAGATCTCTGTGAAGCTTGTGATGCTCTTTGTTTGAGGCTAATAGTATCATTTTCATCACCGTGTTGTTCAGGATACCTGGTTGGCTACCTTGCTCACAGAAAGGCAGACAAGGCGAATACGAGCTGCGCAGAGACCACTGATGATGGTGAAGTCATGGCTCCGATACAAACGGTTCTGTCTCTTGACTGGAGTGACATTACGGCCTTGTTAAAGAGCAAACTGACCACGGACAGCATTGACAAGAGCTTGAGGTAAGCATACAGATGTATCATTAGTAAAGCTGCCCAGTGCTTAGTGAGGTCTTTAAACAGTGTCCAGGGCTATGAAGAGGATTATGCTGCGATGTAATAACTGCCTCGTTCTTCTTCTCTTTTGTTCTCAGTGACTTCTCCAGTGAAAGTCACCAGGCAGGATCTCCAGGAGACGAGGTGCTTGCCAATAAATTGATGGGAAGATTCAAGGACTATGGCATGAACCCCTGGACTGACGAGCACTTTGTTAGAGTCCAGGATCGTCCTTCCAGCGGCACCAACAAAGTGACTTTCCAGAACAAAACGTATGCTGAATCCGGCTTTTTGGCCTACAGTGCAACTGGATCAGCTCAGGTTTGTAATTTAAAGCGATAGTTTGGCCAGAAATGGAATTTATTTTCCACCGGAGCTTTGAGGCTAATGTTGCTAACAAGTAAAGGGACCTCATAGCCTCCATTAGCATTGTGCTGACCACATACCTAAATCATCACACCTGCCGTAAATCATTTTGCGGTGTTAAAGGGGGAATCCATCGATTTAAATAAAATTACGCATAATTAAATGGTTAAGATGTAAACAAAGTCATTCAGAGTGGTTTGGTGTGAAAATGATCCGTTGTAGAGAAACTTACCGAGTCAGAATTGTTCACAGTGGTGGTGATAAGAACCAGACGTCCGCCTCTAAAAGCTCCCTCACAGAAAGTTATTACATGAAATAGTTATGAATACAGAGGCCTTGTCCACATGGATATTAAGAACTTTTTCTCTCGGTTTTCAAAAGATAAGTAAATAATAATAATAAGTTATCAATTTAATATATTATAATAAAGTAAAATAGACTTGCTTATGTGGTTTACGATGCTGTATTACACACTTTTATCTACAAAAATGGACAAAAGTACAGGTCAATATTCAAATTTATCTCTGTTGCTGCTGTTTTTATAGATACCAGTTTGTCAAACGATGTCAGAAGCCACATAACCAAGTCTATTAAAAATTACTTAACAAATAAACATGGTTTAAGGCAAGTGTGCACGACGCTTTCCATTGCTTGTTAGTGCAATTAGCCTCAAAGCTCCAAACCTTCACATGCCAAGCATGTTTCTCTGTGTATCTTTCCAAGATTGAGCTTGATATGAATGAGTAAGCTGTGTTATTGATTTGATTTAATTTAATAGGGTGCAGCTTTATATGCATATTATGGACAAGTAGAGGATTTGAGGCGCCTGCAAGACTTTAACATCGACCTGACCGGAAGAGTCCTCCTGGTTAGAGCTGGCAGAATTAGTCCTGCTGAAAAGGTTGGTACTGTGGATTTCAGCAGTGTTGCTGAATTTAATTAATGCTAAACTATCTCTTAGTTTGTTTCTTGTTTGTTTATTTTTATTATGCTTTTATTTTGAAATTACAGGTTGCCAATGCAGCCAGGATGAATGCAAGTGCTGTGCTGATCTACCCAGATCCTGCTGACTACTCATTCGAGAAAGACACAGACTTGTTTGGCCATGTAAGCACTTAGCAAACGCTCTGCAAATACTATAGGTTTAAGAAAGCAGCCAGTCTTGTTAGTGGATGCCCTTTTTTAGACGTCTTAAATGCTTCCATAAATGAAAATTTCCCTATAAACGTTTTAACTTTTAAACTTTAAAACTTTTAAAGCTTTTTAAATTTTACTAGTAGTTTTTAAATCGCTTAATGGTTGAGCGCCTTCATCCATTTCTGAGTGTTGATAGATGATGTTCCAAATCGAGCTTTATGATCATCTACTGCTGCCTTCTTCATATTCCACGTGTGAAACTTATAAAGAGCTGAGGTAGCGCTTTGTTTATACACACCAGACATCTGGAGCATATTACCAGTAAACATCTGTCAGGCTCCTTCTGTCAATGTTTTAAAAAAAAAAAACAGTTAAAAACATATTTCTTTACTTTAGCAATTAACTATTTTTGTAAAATTATTTACTTTTAATTTTACGGGTATATTACAATTACCGTTTTTTTTTCTTGTTAGGTGCATTTTTATTATTTTTTTCTTCTTTATTCATACATTTATCTTTTATGTGCTTTCAAATTGTAATTATTAATATATCCCTTTCCTGCTATTTATTATTTGTTTATTATTTTTTGTTTTTATTTTTGATGATCGATTTTCTCTTCTTCCTCTCTTGTTTTATACTTTGTAAAGTGAAGAAATATATAAATAAACATTATTATTATTATTATTATTATTATTATTATCATTTTAAGCCTATGGGCTGCAGTCTATTCATATATGAGTAAAACCCAATTTTAGATTAAACTGCAATGGCAGTGGTGTTTCACCCTTAAAAGGGCCCATATGTTACATTTTTCTAGCATTTTGTTTCTTTCCTCAAAGCCCTTTTATGACATTTGTTTAAAATATATATATATATATATCACTTTCAAGCCAATTAAGCAGGCTCTTTTTGTTACTGTCTCTTTAAGACTAGTATATGCAAATTAGATTCGTTCTGATTGGTTGTGGCTCATTCGAAAGCAGTCCAGGCTGAAACACTCCTGGCTTAAATAATAAAATTAAAAATTAACTGCTTTAGGCTGAATAGGTGGATATATGTAAAGGTATTGGTTTTTCATGACATCACAAAAGCAATTACTTTAAAACAGGCTGTTTTTGAAGTTATCGTTCATATCAGGGCTGCATAGACTAAGAAAGTGAAATGTTTGAAATTTAACCTTGCAGGTTGATTGACAGCTGGTATTTTTCCCAGGTCCATCTTGGCTGTGGTGATCCGTACACTCCAGCTTTCCCCTCTTTCAACCACACTCAGTTTCCTCCAGCGAAGTCCTCCGGCCTGCCAGCCATTCCCGCACAGACCATTACAGCCAGCACAGCTGCAGCCATCATGAAGTACAGCAAGAGACGCCGTTGTTTTGCTTTGGATGTTGTTCAGTTTCTCTACTACAGCATTAATAAACTTCATGAATATTAATTTCTCTCAACAGGGGTTTTGGAGGTCGTAATCCTCCAAGTGGTTGGGGTGATGGAGGTCTCAGAGATGTTCCGTACAAGCTTGGTAGTGACAGTGATCTGATCACTGTGGAGGTGAACAATGTCCTCACGGAGAAGAAGATCCATAACGTGTTTGGAGTCATCAAGGGTTTCGTTGATGCAGGTACAGAATGGTACAGCCTTAAACAGTGAAAATCAGAACGAGAACAGGTTATATTGGCAAATTAAGATACATAATTATCTGTCTGTCTGTCTGTCTGTCTGTCTGTCTGTACTACTTTTGACTAAGACTACCCTTTTAAAGGGTTTATGAATAGTTAGAATTACTTAATTATTAATTAGCTCATAAACACCTTAAAAATCATTAATAAACAGTTATACTAAATTAGTAGAACAGCAACAGTGACCTGTTATATCTGATGAATATGAATAAATGGTGAAGCTGACTGCTAACTAATGCTTTTTAAAGTGTTAATGACCTGATTAATAACCATTAATAAACTAATTTTTAAGCATTCATAAACCTTATGAGAGTAGTGTTGTTTTATTTTTGTGTGTATATATATATATATATATATATATATATATATATATATACACACACACACACACACATGCAATACAATATATATATATATAGTGAAAGAGAACACAGTTAGAAGAACACAGGTTTGGTTCCTGACTTCTCGCTGTACTCCAGCTTTTTGTGGCTTTAATTAAATGAAAGATTGATTTAAAAACTCTATTGGATGGTGAAATCATCTTCAATCTAGTAGATAAATCTAATATATCTCATTTTGATACTTTTTACTTATATTTTTACAACAATATTTCATTTATTTCTTGACAGTTTTGTTCTGGCAGATTACTTGTTCCAGGTTAATATTGGCTGTATTGACTAAATTTTAGTTGTTTTCACTCGATCACGCTATCATTATAGCTCTGTTTATCTATCTACCTGTCTCTAATGGTAAATTGTTTTTGATGCAATCACAGCACGTAAATTCATAATGTAAGTAAAGATTTTTAATAACCTTTAAAGAATCTATTGTTCTTATGTACTTTTTCATTTATTTATTATTTAAGTATTTATTTGTTCAGTAATGTATCAGTTTCTTATTATTCATGATTTTGATTGTAGTAGTAATAAAAAATAGTACTTCAAGTTTTTGAATCTTTAATAATAATAATAATAATAATACATCAATTTTTTGAATCTTTAAGAAAAAAATAATAGCAATAATAATAATTATTAGTTTTATTTTGTATTATTATTTTTTTTATATAGTTTATATGGTGAAAGTGTACTGTTGTGCTGAATGGTTGTGATGATTTTTGACCCTTCAAAACATTTACAAATTGTCTGTGGCAGCTTCTACAACCAGTTGAGTAATTTGTATGTGGGAGATTTGCGTCGTTGAGGCTCCTGCACAATCTCACGCGTTTCCACTATCAGCCACACAAGAATCCAATCAGGAAGTGACACGATTGACCTCAGCTGGTCCCCGCTAAGAACAGTGGGATCACTGGGTCCAGTTTAAATGTACTGTCTGTGGTTCTAGCTCTTGCACTCATTTGCACAAAAGGAGCACATCTTAAACTCTCTTAACCCTCTGGTGCAGATCGCTATGTGGTGATTGGAGCTCAGAGGGATGCCTGGGGTCCTGGATATGCCAGCTCTACTGTTGGCACCAGTTTGCTGGTTGAGTTGGCCAGGACTTTTAGCGAAATGATAAGCAAGGGTAAGTAAGGTGTACAAGTGTTTTTGTTAATGTGTTTGTGTTTTCCTGTGTGGTAAAAAGGGAGGGAAATGAGTGCAGTAGGAAATACTAATATTTACAATTGCAATTGTATTCCACATGAAGATGGATTCAAGCCGAGGAGGAGCGTAGTGTTTGCGAGCTGGAGTGCTGGAGAATATGGAGCTGTGGGCGCCACCGAGTGGCTGGAGGTTTGAAAACTTGTTTTTTACCTTTTGTGTGCTATATAGTTAATACAGTAAGTAAGCATGAATATCTAATTCATTTCATTTTGTCCTACAGGGCTATCTGTCCTCTCTCAATATGAAAGCTTTCGCTTACATTAGCCTCGATGGAGTTGTCACAGGTATGTGTTCAGTCTTATTTACAGCAATTGTTCAGCAAAAAGCTATTTTGAAGTCACTCAGACACCAAACCTGAGTTTGAGTTGGAGCTCTGAGGCTAATATAACAAAGTAAAGGCAACTCCCGATCAATTAGCACTGAGCAAACAGCCTCAAACCTTGTTACCTTGTTAAGTCATGTTAAATAGACTTGCTTGTGTGGTTTCTGCCTCTGTATGACGTACTGCTGTCTATGAACATTTGACGTAAGCACAAAATTGCATAAATTGCAGTTTTTGGCAAGAATGGTTTGGCAAAAAATCAAATGTCCACAATTTTCCACTTACCTCAGATGTACTTGATCAACCAAGACATGTTTGGTGTCCAGAGTTTGCTTCATTACTTTAGCACTGGAGCTGGACAAACACTAGAAGTCAATAGTCAGCCAAATGTTTTCTGTAAATACATCCTCGTAACTTCCTTCAACCTGCTCAAACCACATCCAGGTCATTAAGGTTGTGACTTGATGTGGTTTAAGACACAGTGTGACTTACTGTGAGCTAGGGATGCGTGATTGGAGTCAGCCAAGATCACAATCGACAGATTTTTGGTCCACATGCACAAGTGGCCGATAAATTTTTTTGTGTCGCAATTTTAAATAATGTGAGGCAGCTTTGTACTGAATGCTTCTACACCTGAAACAATATGTCGTAGCATAATCCTACATGACTCTTATATTAAATAGCCAGTTGCCTCTCACTTTCAGTGTAGCATTTTATTTGATTCATTAAATTTAAATAGGCTTCTTCACCCCTTTTTTGCATTGTCAGCCTGATTGATTTTATATAGCTTATCTACCAACTGCAACTTTTACTTTACTTTTAATGCATTTACGTTTAGTGCATTCATCATACGATGCAAAGGGCAACTGGCATTTTCAAATAATGTCAAAAAACGTCAAAAATCGAGATACAAGGTTTTCTTCTGACAGCAGCGATTTTATATATATATATATATATATGAATATTTCTGTTCAGGGTGAATATGGTAGTTTGAAACCCCTGATTTACAGAAAAGATTTGGGTGACTACTGACTTCTAGTGTTTGTTAGCAGCGCTAGCCTCAGTATTCCCCTTTAAAACTACAGAAGCAAAGTTTGAACACCAAACATGTCTTGGCTGACCGAATGTGCCCAAACCATTCCTTTAACAATGAAACATGACTTTCTAAAATGATAATAAACATCTAATATTTTGCACAGGTTCCTCTTTCAAAGCAAGTGCGAGCCCCCTGTTGTATGAATTAATTCAGAGCACTCTGAAAGAGGTGAGATTTCTGAGCTTTTAGGCTTTCTGGGTTGTGGACTGAGTAACTGTAGAGAACTAATGCTTTCTTTTTCTACCACAGGTGTCTTTACCCACTGATGCCAGCAAAAGTTTGTATTCACAAGTGGCTGGAAGCAACTGGGAAGCGTCTGTGTATGTGTGTCTTCTGCAGAAATTCAAACGCATTCCTTAAGGAATCGTATGTATCATAGTATACATCATAACAGTGCGTTTTTCTTCACAGGATGCAGCCAATGAGGATGTCTGATCCTGCCTATCCGTTCCAGGCTTTCTCTGGCATCCCCTCTGTCTCATTCCGCTTTACCTCAGTAAGTATCGTGGGAGGCAATGCTTATGGAATAAATAAAGGCTTCCTGGCTTCATAACTGATCTTAGTATGCAAAATGTTAGGCTTTTGTGCTTTGCTGTTTTTGAACTGTTGATGTTAGATCAAAATTTTAGAATTTATTCTTTGGTTTAAGGTAGGGATGCTTCAGAGTACTGACCCGATACGAGTGCTCAGTTAAGGCTCTTGTTTTGTAGTGACTATATAGCAACATATATGCTGAACTAGACAATGTATTGCCCTTTATTACAATTTATAAACTATTGGTAGGTAATTTAGAAAAATAATGAAAAATTCAGAGGCTCACACATGTACATCAGTATTTTTCTTCGCACAAATTTAACGGTTATGTACTAACATCCATTTTACTACCAGTGGTTGAGTTTTTACTGAAGCCTCTGGACCTGTTAGTTCTTTAATCAACATTTTATTCCCTGAATCTGTCTACAGCAATTAACAACAGTATTTACAACATCCTGCATGATGTTAACATCCATCAGCATGGCTTTATCAAAGCTACAGGCAGTAATATGTTGCTAACTTAGCAAATCAGCTCTCATTAGGGAAATGCAGCTGACAGTGTCGGCTTTTTATATTATTTTACCTTAATTTAATTAAGTATTTAGATAATCTCCGACGATTAGAAATTCCAACTTTCAGTTTTAACATCTTCAAACATCTCTCACTGGTTTGGGAAAGATGAAGATCTGCACTTCTTTGTGTGTTTTTTTTCTCCCATGACTGGATTTCAAACTAGCTAAATTTGGCAGGAAAACCGCAACCCTGGCAACCCCGGCAGTGTGTTTGCATGCTGAACCAAACACTCCACAGTGTTTGGTTCAGCAATAATGATAGTGAAAGCGTGTGATTCTACATAAACACCTCTTCTGTAGGTGTGCATGCTCTGCCCTGACCAGAACTGACAGTTGTTTGACGAGGATTTAGATGGAAAGAAAATATTGATATTTTGTAGAACACTGAAGTTTAGTGATCCAAAGTGGCTGGAAAAGGGGAGTGGTTGTTTTACAAGGACAGTTGTTTTTCTCTGTTTTGTTTTTTTGACGGGGTCGATGGCATCCCTTCGCACCCCCCCTCAAATCGAACCCTGTTTACAACTGTGAATATTTTTTTATCATATTTTTCTATAACATTTATAAAATTGTATTGTTATGTACAGTATTGAATGTGGATCAGTGACATCTGGCCAATATTTAGACCCTTTAATAAGGTTACTATTGTTGCCGACACCAATTCGGATACAGACTGTAGGTGTTTATAACTCATGTAATACAACTACCCAGTCTGGTGATCTGATGTGGTTTTACCCCTATAAATGGATTATTAATCTTAATATTATTCTTCCTGCGAGTTAAACATTAATCAGTGCTCTGGTTTAGTTGTGAATGCTGTTAGTTATAAAGACTTGAACTGAGATGACAGCTGACTTTTCTCTCTCAGGACAAAGAATATCCATTCTTTGGAACCCTGCTGGACACCAAGAGGAATCTGGACTCTAAAATATTCAACCTACGTGCGCTCACCAAGACAGCGGGAGAGATAGCTGGGCAGATGGCTCTTCGGCTGATGCATGACCACCTGCTCAGGCTGAATGTGGAGAAGTACACCAACATCATCCGCAGCAAAGTGGCTCAGATCAATAGAGAAGTCATAATTCTGCAGTCGGTGAGGCTTTCTGACTAAATTCAGGACGTATGTCCTTTAAAAACAAACCCTAGACCACAGGTTCCCAACCTTTTCTTAATCGTGGTCCACACAACCGTCCACAAAAGCATCTGTGAGCCACAGAATTTTACCAGCCTGATCATTTAAAGTGCAAACAAATATAATACAGTAATCAATGTGGCCTGTCAGTTGTAGTTGATATTATTAACAACACAATAAATGCCATAAAAGAACCAAACATTTTGTAGCTCACCTAATGAGTTAGACGATGTTATTTGGCAGCTACCAAGTGCTGGACGACATGCTGAAGAATTGAAAGTTGTGAAAGGTCTGGCTCAGTTAAATAGGTTTAGATGCTTATTTGTTTAGCCTCCAGTTGATGGCAGGCCTCATAGCACCACAACGAACAGGCAGAATGTCTTCAGGTGACAAAGATATCTTTTGCTCCTCGTAAAATAGGCAAGTGATGACACTGAGTGGGTTTCTTTCCATTCTGGAAAAGTGAAAGGAACATGGAGAGTTTCACCACCTCATTTAAGAGCTTTCAGACACAGTTTGGATGTTTGGAACTCAGTTCGAGCTCGTTTGAGCTGCTTTTGGAGATGCTGACATCATCTATTTGTTTGGCTTCACAGCTTTTTTTTAAAAAAAAAAAGACATCTGAGCGTTCAGCACAGAGCGGTAGTTACTCTTTAGGCTGTGAAGCCTAAACGCCTTGAACACCGAACACAGTTTATTTGTGCAGTAATTTGGGATGGCAGTAATTAAATTCGATCATGTATTTTATATTCTGCACACCACATGCGATTTTTTTTTTAACTCTCAAAAATGTATTATTATTCATGCTCTGTTTGATATTTGTGAACTTTTGCTGGTGACTGGATTCGTTTGCCTCCTGGTTTCTCACGGATGGTGTTAGCATCTCCAAAAGCAGCTCAAGGTGAAACTCTCTGGGCTACTTTCACTTTTCCGAAATGGAAAGAAGCCCACTCAGTGTCATCATTTGCCCGTTTTGCGAGGAACAAAAGAGATCTTTGTCACCTAAAAAACGTTCTGTCCTTTTGACGTGACGCAATAAGACCTGGTACTCTCTGCTGTGTTTTCATCGTTTCGTTTTATACTTGGTTTTCTTGTTTTTCTCTGTCTGAGACACAGTGGCTATTCACTTGTAGGTAATCCAACCTTGGGATTTTTTGGGAAAGACTCTGTTTGTAGACATCTATGATTATCTATGATGGATGAATTCCTTACGAATGAAAAGAGAAATGTTTTAGTTTGAATTGCACTCAAAATGTGAACATAACTAAAGTAACTTTTGCCTTTGACTAATAAACAAGGCTGACCTAAGTATGATCTATTTTTGCTAATAACAGGCGTTTTTCACGCACGGAGGAGGGGTCAAGTTCCGGGGGAGGTTGTGTGTAAACTTATTTCCGGTTTCCGTGCCGCTTCGCTACGAATATGGCTGCATTTCAGTATTCATCATCTTTGGCTGAACTCCCATGCTTTAGGCAGGACGATGTGGTCAGAATTGTGGAAGAGCTCTCGAGCACCAAACGTGCAAAACTCGATAAGGGATATAAATTCTTTTTTGAGCAGTTTATTTTTGATTATGAAGGTAAATCGTTAGCTGGTTCCAGTGTTGTAGTTAGTTAGCTAACGTCGGCTGCCTTACTTAATGTCACAGACAGGATGAGTAACGTTCTTCAGATTTAGAGATCTTTAAATATGTGTCTGTTTAAGAAGTAAATAAACGGTGTCTAACATGAATTATATCCTTCTCAGTGTCCAATGCTGTAGATAGGGAGATCCATGTAAGGGCCCGGTGTTACCAGTCATTAAAGAAAAGCGAGGAACCACACAGACTAGAGGTCCAAAGACTTCAAAGAAGTTCGAAGGAGTTGAACCAGTCCATTGTTACAACATTGCAGTTCACGAACCCATTTTAATTTACGCAATTAGATTTACAGTTTATAAGCTGATTCACTATTAGGTTTATACTGTATGTATCACATACAGCCACACATCTTTCCAGTAACCACCTGCCATCACCTGGGTCACTGACGTTCTTTGATGCCAGTCCCGAGGGTCTTGTACACTAGCCATGATTTTGGCCCATAACAAAAAACCCACGCAGACATGGGGAGAACATGAAAACTCAACACATATGACTGTTCAAATGTAGTACAAAGCTAAATGAAAATAAATAAAAGTGTAGAAATTAAAACGAGATATATATTTTAATAACAGCATTTCACACACAATGCAAGTTATGGTTGCCTCATATATACACTGTATATGCGCGTCCTCCTTGGCTTGTTCTTCCTCCTCTATCCCCGACATATCCTGCTCCACCACCCCCTCCTCCTCATTAGTAGAGTCTCCGAGGCAGGCCCTCACTCTGCTATACACAGACTCCCTTGCTTGTTGACTCCAACTGAAACGACATGGTACTGCGTCCCTTTTCACCCATGTTTTTCCCTTCAGTGTAATGTAGATGTCTGACGGGTTGAAATGAGCGCTGCACACATACATGCTGCTTTGAATTACTTTGAATGTCGCTTCTTTTTATTGTGATTAACCATTTCTTTCTGAGCTCATCATCCGATGGAAATGAATGAAAACTCAAAAACGGAAATGATTTTACACAGAACTTCCCAAACCGGAAATGTCGACCCTGGAAACGAGAGAAAGGCTCATTAGTCCCGTTTAAAAAAGTATTTGGTTAAATGTCTAAATATTGTTTAACATTGGTTTAAAAAAACTTCTAGTACAGTGGGCACAATATATTGCAAGTAACTATTACTAACATTTACAATTTCTTGATCTACGATGGTGGTTTTCAGCCTGCGGGCTGCAGTAAAACTGCTACTGGGTCACATCCCACAGGTTGAAAACTACGGTCCCAGATAAAGATATTCTAAACATGAATATATTGTGCCTGTTATGCATTACAAACTGTCAGCACAGTACAATACAGTAAAGGTTGTAAACCAAAGGATACTTAGGCCAGACTTGATACTTGACCAATTTTTTTACTGTTTGTTTTTTCAGTCTGGCCGTGTTCCAAAGACACTGAAAATGCAGTGGTTGATGTCAGCTTTGGGCTCATATAGTCGTGCTTCCAGAAATCTCAACACCAACATCCAGAACAGCGACCTTGAGGACTACGAGCAGTGTCGCATCATCAATAACCGAATCATGGCGGTAAATCTGAGCTTATTTAGTTTTCATCCAGTTAACAATACTGGTTACCAATTTGTTCAAAGCACCAACCCTTCATCTACCTCAATAGATTATGTGAAATTTTGTACTATCTCCTGTTTAGTAACATTAAACCAATGGTAACATGTATATGGGGCCTAGAACAGAACCCTGTGGTACACCATAAAGAATATCATGTTTTCAATGGAGGTTAGACTTACTAAAGTATTTTCTTACTTTAAGATGAAGATGGTGTGCTCTAATACACTACATTGTGTGTTTTCTCTGTATCTACAGGTGGAGAGGGATTTACTTTCTCCTTATGTGTCTCCCCGGGAGACTCCATTCAGACACATATTGCTGGGCTCTGGCTCACACACTCTGGAAGCTTTGCGTGCACACCTGGCTGCCATCAAGGAGGGCTCGGCCAGTGGTAACATTGACCTGCTGAGGAACCAGTTTGCTCTGGCCACCTGGACCATCCAGAGCTGTGCCAATGCGCTGGCAGGCAGTGTGTGGGAAATGGACAACGAAATTTAGGTGAATTCGATTCAGCTCATGGCTTGATTATGAACCGATGAAAAGTTTCAGATGAAAAAAAAAAAAAACATACCCCTCAAATAATGGATTGCACCCCACAGGTACATTAAAGTGCCTGTACTGTATTTCAACCAGAAGTTCTGTCTGTTTCTAACTTGCCATTCAGGCGGCCAGTGCTTTTGTGAAAAGAGTATGTTTAGCTTTAGTTTTCTCACAACCATTTTCTTTCAGTTCTGCACTCCTAACAAACAACGAGAGAAATCTTCCTGAACTAAAACTGGATTTTTGAAGACCGTGGGAACCTTTTAAATGCTACTGTAAATTTACTGGAAAGAAATGGTGGAGGAAAACGCCAACACAGTGATCCCAAGACACAATAACATTATAGAGTTTTATAAAAATAGCTTTAGGATAAAACTTTGGGTTGAAATACAGTACAGAGTTGCCATAAGCTGAATATTCAGATTATTATGTATCAATGCAAAACAAACAAAATTGAAGTTCAGGTCTCTAAAAAGAAAAGAAAAACCCCTGTAATATTAAGGCAAAAGCTGTTAATATTCATACTGGTGCTTCACGAACATGTAGTTCCGACTCAAATATTACCTCACACAGTATTTTTCTTAACAAATGCAGTCAAAATGCTAACTATGCAAGGCAGATGAAGCTCAAAATGTAGACTGTTTTAACTCCAAGGTCAGGCATACATTCAGTATTGATTGTTTTTGGACACAAAACTAACAATCAGGGAATTATATGGATTTTTCTTACCTTATTTGAGCAAGTCTTCCAGATGCCTTGTAAGGAAAACCTTATGCAAAAATCCTATGAATGCGGAAGCCGGCGACTAGTTCACACAGGCAAGGGCTACAGAGGACAGTCGTTTTCATTCTTCTGCTGTCTCTGACACTCCTGACTGTAGAGTTCAGTGCTGTTAAAATAGACCTAAAAGCAGCAGGAAGCCTCCTAATTTCTGGCTGCATGCTAAAATTCCAATGGACCATCCAAGACGGGCTAACCAGAGGCTTCAAAATGTGGCACTGAAATCTCTATTTATTTTTTATATTTATTTATCAGTGACAGGGTTCACTATAAATAGCATTTTGTAACGCCTTTTTTAAAGAAATGTATAATTATCGGAAGCAGTGCCTTCCATAATTATGACAGTTATACTGTCGAAATGACAAAGCAGCATCTGCTACGGAGGTAAACCTGTTTCCAAAAAGCTACGGCCAAGGACAGTCCCGTTGCAATGACTTTTGCTAAGACTATACCTGAAGGAATATTTCTCAGTTTATTAGCCGAGGCGTGTTTGATGTCTGAAGTTTGCTTCTTTAGTTTTACGCTGGAGCTACGAGTAATTGAAGATGACTAGTAATGAAAGCTTAAGGTGAATTTCACTAATTTGTCAAGATTTCTGTATAATTAAATGCTTAAGATGTAAACAAAGTCATTCAGTGTGCTTTTAATGTGAAAGAGAAAGAGTCAGAATTGTTCATTGTGGTGGCGATAGGAACCAGACGTCTGAAGAGCTGAATGCTTCTAACAGAAAGTTGTTATACAGACGAAGTGGCTACGAATACTCGGCCTGATGTCTGAGACATTAAGTGCGTTTACATACACTTAATAATCTTATGAATGCAGAAAATCAGATTTTGTCAGTAATCCGATCAACGCGTTTACATGCACTTGAGTAATCAGATAATGGGGAAACTCTGAGACAGGCGATAATCAGATTTCTGCTTTGCAACCAGCCAATAAACACGCAGAAGAAGATGTGACGTAAACAGAATGTAAAACTCAAACTTCACATCACAGCTTCTTTTTTTTTTTTTTTTAATTGAGCCACTTTACCTGAAAATATGAATATACATCATCTCGAAGATGAAGAATATTTAAATCCTTCATTTCATCAAGTTGGTTTCAGTGTTGTTCCAAAAGTGTTTTGCTGCGTCTCGCGGCGACGCTGCTTGCTTATTTCCAGTACTGCCGTCTGTTTTCACATGCGCAGACTGTGAAATGCGAAAGAAATCAGAGTAAGAGTTCACATGCACTGAGAAATCTGATTACTGAGCTTAAATCCATTATCAGATTCCTTTATCGGATTTCTAGACCTTACTCTAACAAATCGGAGTGCGCTGTTTAAATGACCATTTGAGTAATCACGTAACTGCAGAAATCCCATTATGATCATATTATTGAGGGCATGTAAACAAACTCATTGTTTTAAAATATAACATATTTTATAATATGTTATATTTATATATTATATTTTTGTTTTAAAATATAACATATTATATAACATATTATATAACATATTTATATGTATTTAACATATATTCATGGTGGACAGGTACATGCAGGGTGTTGTAAGCTTAATTTTGAAAAATTGGTGAAATTCCATATAAAATGGCCACAGCTACATTAGCTACAGTAGTGAAACTAAAGAAGCACCATTCTCTGTAATGTTCCTTGAAGCGTAGTCTTTATGCTGTCGTCCACACTAGACTAACGGGCTGCTCTCTGGCGCCTCTCCATTTTTGGAACACTTTTCTTCCTGATCCTAGCCATTATCGGGAGCAGTGTCTTCCATAATGTGAAGATGATGGTAGTTTTTGCCTACCAGCGTGTTGATATCGAGGGCAGTGCCCCTCATATTTCACTGTAGGGTGGATGAAATTATCGGGAACAGTGTTTCCCATAATGTTGTACATATCCGCGTTTGCGCACAGTCACCATGGGAACCGTCCCACGCGTGTCGGCTATTAGCAGTTCCTTTTCAGCAGTCGCATGGAACGTAGAAAAGAATCAGAAGAATCAGATGTAGATGAGAATAATATGCACGGTGTGATACTGTGATGGGCATTTGTATGATTTTGTAGTACATATTGTATTTTCTTTTTCTTTTTCTTTTCTTTTGGTTTAGTTTCTGACATTTTATGTTCTTTGTTTGCGCCTTATATGATATGAGAAGCTTTTCGAGATTCAATTTTGTTTCCCTCCTCTTTTATGCAGGGCTTATTTTATACACAATTCGATCTTCTGTCCTTGAATTGCATTCTGTCCATCAGCTCAGAAGTCTGGACACCCAATATGTTGTACTCAACAATTTTAGAGTGGTAATATATTTGACTCAGAATTAATATAACTACTTTTTATGATGCAAAATTCATAAATGTAATACCAATATGAATTTGGGATTTTACTTTATTATAAAGAAGGAATTTAAAAAGCAGGGACATCATTCTTGATGCATCTACAAAAAACAAAACCACAGACGTTTGTTAAAAGAAATGTATGTAATTTGCTTCCAGCACTCCACCTGCCTACCTGTTTATGTGCAAAGATGTTCAATACATAAACTCTTTAATGCAATAAATATTTACAACACATTAAAGGGCTTTGGCTTCTAACTCTGATGTCCTGCTTCGCTCATTTGTCAGTGTAATATGTTTTACTGCTTCTTCTCAGACTCTATCCGGATCACGTTAGTCTTTGTGTTTGTTATTACTGTATGTTCTACAGTATAAAGTCCACACCATCGTTTTAATCCCAATCCTGCTTCCTCTTCTGCAGATTTTGCAGACACGCATCAGTTCAGCAGCTCATTCTCAACACTTCAGTGTTCCTTCTCCTCCTTTAAGGGACTTACAGTTTCTGTTTAACTGTCTAACTGGGTTTAGGACAGAAAACACAATCTCAGCATTTGAAATTCACTGGATTATTCTTCACATTAGAGCCTTACTGTGCAAAGTACAAAAGAACTGCTATCAGTCCTGAAGGAAGAACCATGAACACTTAAAGAACCCTTTGCATGATTAAAGGGTTCTTTGCATCGTGAAGGAGTTCTTCTTCTGATGGGGAATTTGCTGTACATGGTTCCATATAGAACCATCATTGTGTGTACTACAAGTGTGTAGTAGAAATCACATAGATGGCACAGGTTTAATTACAACCGAAAGGAAATGATTACTGGGTGTAATATAAGTATACTGTTGTGTGCAAAAGTTTAGGCACCCCTGGTCAAATTATGTGTTTGCTGATTTTCAAAGTGAAAATAAGTTGCAAGTCCTCAACAGAGACGCACTTAAATACGACATTTCCCTCAAATTTTAATGCACAGTTTATGTTTATTTAGGGTGCCCAAAATTTTGCATATGACTGTCGGCCTAATGGGGTCTTTGAATGAAGTAAGAAATGAATATAATATAATATAATGCAATACACACACACACCCACACACATACATTTTCTAAGTCGCTTATCTTTCTGGGTCACAGGGGGTGCTGGAGCCTATCCCAGCAGTCATTGGGCGGAAGGCTATAATATAATATAATATATAATAATTCAGTTACGGTAGTGTGTGGCGTCCATGTTTTCATTTTTTTTTTTTCCAGCATATCAAGTTAAAAAAAAGATCACAAATGACCTGTAAAAGTTTTTCATTTTAACTTTTTTTTTATATTCGCTGCACTTACAGAAAACAAAGTTTGCACATATCAGAAACAAACAGAAACATGGAAATGACTACAAATAATTGAACTACAAATAACTGAAGGATGAAAAACATCTGTACATCAAAAAATACACAAGTAATTAAAAAAAGAAAAGGAAATCCCGTCTTAGTGGAAAAATGCAGAAATAAAACACAATTTAGGGTATCGAAAGTGCTCACTTTTTAAAGAATTTGTTATTTCTGGTATTAGTACTGAATTTTACAGATTGAAGTATTCATATTTAAGAAATGTTTAGGACTCGGTGCCACATAGTCTTTATGTGGTGAGTTGAAGCAAAAATGTGGACCGTCTTCAGGGGCCCTGAGGACCGGGTTGGGGACCACTAGCTTGAGTGACTTTGAGCGCTCACTCTGTCTGACGTGTCTGGTGCTAATAAAGAAGCTGAAGCTGTTGCTGAGTGTGGTCTATCCTCCACTGAGAGTGAGATCAGTATGCGCACAGACCTTTTTACATTCATACAAAAACGGTGTAGTTTTCTTTTCCGATTTAATTCGGGGACTTTTATGACTTTTATCTGGCGCGTGGCGACAGGAAACGAGGCGAAACACGGTCACATGACTGCTGAGCGCTTGTTGTGCAGCTCCAGCTGCAGCTGACAAACCGTGTCTACCGTGATTCGCACTGAATGATCTGCTCTGAACTGGTTTCTAGGTAAGAAAACATGTTTGTATGTACACAAATATACAGAGAGAGTTATGCATTTGAGGTGAAATGCCTTTAAGCTCTCAGCCAAGAAGAAAAAAGTCCAGTAGAAAATGATTAATAATGAAAAACTATCAGTATTTGTAGTTTTTTCAGGAGCTCATAAAGGGGAAGTTAGTTTTTGCTGATGCGCAGGAAACTACATTCTTCAACACTTTGGTTCTTTAGTGAACCATATACATAAAACCATCTACAGCACATTCTCCATTGATCTGAAGAACCATTTCACCATGCAAAGAACCATTTTAATCATGCAGAGAGTCCTTTGATTGTTCATGGATCTCTATAGAACCATCTTCTTAACTAAAGAACCTTTGAGGAACCTTCATTTTTAAGACCAGCTCTCAAATCCATTGATTTTCCAAAAATGTCTGTAGTAAAAGTTCTTTAGTAAAGGGAGAGGTTCTATTTCTATTAATTGTGTTCTATATTTCATGCCTTAATGGTTCTTAACTTGATGGTTCTTCAGACTGGTAGAGAATATGTGGTATAGGGTTCTGTATAGCACCAGACAGTGTTCTGCTGTGAAGCTTGTAGCAGTATAAGAACCCTTTTCTATACAGAACTCATGGTTCTGAGTAGAAGCATTGCCTTTACTGAAGAACCCTGGAAGATGTCTGTTGTAAGAGTGTAGATCGGGAGGAAGGCTGCATAGGGAGGATTATCTGAAGACACTATCTGTTCTTCCTTCGAGTGGAAAGAAAGAAATAATAAAGAACCCCTTATGGATAAGAAAGGGGGTCCTATAAGGATCTCATAACTGGTACAGTTGCCATTGTTTACTGCTGGATACTGGATCAGCATTATTATAGATTTCTATGAGACAATATTATACAGGAATATTACATAGAAGCAAAAATGATCATACAGGGTGTCCCAAAAAGATTCACATCATTTGAGTTGTGACTATCTGAGTAACTACATGTCCTGGCAGACGAAATTAAACAGGCTTCATGTTGAACAAAACAAGGTTTATTTATCAAAATTCGAACAAGAAATTCAGAGGGATGTAGATTTTATAACCGATTTCAAAGCTTCACAAATGTTCAATATGCGCACCGCCTGTGACACGACGCACGTCAAGTTGGTAGTCCAGCTCCTGCCAAACACGCTGTAGCATGTCTTGTGTAACAGTCTCCAGCGCAGTTCCAGTTGGTGCATTTTTATTGAATTTTTTCGAAAATGCCGCTGCACACTCTGTTTGACTGTGTTGGAGTATATTCTAACACACAAAATGCCTTTTCATCTCTAGTGGACGCCATTCTTCAACCTGAAAAAAGACATTAAAAATGAAACTTGGTTAGTTTTTACACATTTTGTTCAAATTTGAGATCATTTGAGGGAGAATTGGCTGTTATTAGACTACGAAACATGTCCGTTTTTTTGGGACACCCTGTACAAGAAATCCTTTGTTTTGCAAGGGACTCTAAGTGTGAATTTAGATATATTGTGTTTGCGCTGTGATTCAGATTATTAAAGAATCCCCCCCGACTAAAAATCCCACAACCTGTGGTGCACACTCAAAAAAGATGGTTCTTCAAGGGTTCTTTAGTAAAGAACATGGTTCTGTATAGAACCATGAACACTCAAATAACCATTTGCATGATTAAAGGATTCTTTGCATCATGGAAAGTTCTTCAGATTGCAGATTGCTGTCGATGGTTCTATATAGAACCTTTCTAAAAAAGGGTTCTATGTAGCACCAAATCAGAACCATTGACCAGTTGTGCTTGCACACAGAGGAATTTGACCTCCACATTTAACCCATCAATGCATTGAAACACCCACATACACTAGGGGGCAGTGAGCACACTTGCCCAGAGTGGTGGGCAGCCCCATCCACAGACCCCGGGGGGGGGCAGTTGGGGGTTAGGTGCTTTGCTCAAGGGCACTTCAGTCATGTCCTGTCAGCTCAGGGGATCGAACCAGTGACCTTTCAGCCACAAGGCTGGTACCCTGACCCCCAGCCCACAACTGCTATTGTCATGATGTCAAGTCTGTAATAATAGAAGAACCCTTTTTGGTACTATATAGAACCATTTTCCAAAAGGTGCTATATAGAACCGTATATAACACATTCTTCAATCTAAAGAACCATTTTACCATGCAAAGAACCATGTAAGCATGCAAATGGTTCTTTGAGTGTTCATGGCTTTATATAGAATCATTTTCTTTACAAAAGAACCTTTGAAGAACCATCATTTTTCAAGAGTGTACTTAAAGGGGAATTCCATTGGTTTTCCAGAATTTCTTCTTAATTCAGTCATTGGTTTTCAACAAAGTCATTCAGAGATTCAGAGTCGTTTAATATGAAATGATTCGTTGTAAAAAAAACTCATCAATTTCTTTACAGTGGTGGTGACAGGGAACCAGGGGTCAGTATGCCTACAAATTTAGTAAATATATTTTATTCACTATCCAAAAGGAGTAGTGAGCCTACACGTGTCCTTTTAAAATAAATTTTTATATGAGTTTTTATATGTAATGTTGGGTATGATGATGGTAAAAATAGTGGTAAATGATGAGGGTAAAATAGTGGTAAATCTAAAAATAATTTTTTTGGGTAGTAAAATTTAAAAAGATACATTTTAGTAACTTTCTGGTGGGCCAAATTCCCCGCAGACCACGCTTTTAGGCAGCTCACAGTACAGTGTAACAGCATAATAGCTTCTAACCCTCACATAATGCTGCCATGTCCACAGTTGCTCAGAGCCCCATTTCTGCCTAAGCTTCCCCCCTGCTCCAGAACATGGAGGACAACAGCAGTCAAGTAGAGCTGGTCCTGTCCGGTGACATGAATCAGGAGGATGAGGTGACCCATCACTTCCATCAGTCACATGCCAGCAAACCCAGCCAGCACTCTCCAAGAAACATCTGCTTTATGGTCACAGCAGCTTTGTTCATCTTTGCCTTTGGTAAGAAGCCTCCCAGCACAACTTTGAACCATTCAGTTTGGCAGTTTGACATAACGAGACATGTCAGGATGCTAAAAAAGGCCCTCTAGGAGCGATTCCATAGAAGAACCATTTTTAGCCATCTAAACAACCTTTCAATAGACGGTTCTTTAAAGAAATGTTCGTATAAATGAGATATAATGTACAGGTTATATGCCAGTTAAAGAGGTCTTAGTAGAACAAGCCACAAACAATTTACGAACCTTTATAATAGTAGGAGAAAACGTCTACATTCCCCCTTGAATGACGGTGGTTTTTTACTGTAAAGCTAAACTGTATCTATGCATGTGTTACATATACAGGGTGATATATAGACCAACTCACAGCACAAATAAACTGGAACAGCAGACAGTATTGTTTTTCTAGCACATTATCATTATTAGGACAAGGTGCCCTTTACCTGGGGTCAGAAGCTCTGAAAACTGATTGGGAGAGAAAGCAACGGGGGGTGTCTTACGCTGGGGGCCGTGTTCCCCCACGTTACTGTACTTATTTTCCAGTCCCTTCCATTATATGTGGGAATAACTGGAAGCCCCAAGACACAGTATTATTATGATAAGCTCACCGGACAAAAAATGAGTCACGTGTGACTGAAACGTACTTAATAGTGTGTAACCACCTCCACGAGCACAAAAAACAGCTGTGATTCGATTTGGCCTGGACTGGACAGGTTTCTGGATGTAGGCGACATCAATGTTCAGCCACTCTTGCAACAAAGAATTCAGTTTGGCCAGATTTCGTGGATGCCTTCCCTGATGTCTTACTCGCTGTTCCAGGTCGTCCCCCAGATTTTCAAAAGGATTCAAATCTGGGGATTTTTTGTGGTCCAGTCCAGATGTGTGAACGCTCCTTAAGGTTTGTCACGCCACAGTCACATTTGCAGCCCTGTGAACGCGAGAACTGTCATCTTGAAAAACAGGGATAGGAATCTTATGTTTCTCGGTAAGATGATGAGCAAAAGGCAAAACCTGGTTGTCCAGCAGCTCAGTGTAGACACTGCGGTTCAATTTTACTGTCACCTCAACAAAAGGACCCATTTCTGTGCAGTTAAAACCCCCAAAGAACATCACAGAGCTTGAGGCTTGAACCACACCTTGCACGCAGTCCTCATTGAAGTCTTCCTGAGGAGAACACGATGCCTAGCATCATTCACATATAGGCAGAAACGAGATTCATCTGACCAGATAACATGTTTCCAGTCATGAACAGTCCAGTGCTTGTGTCTCTTTGGCCACTGTAACCGGCAACTTTATGAGCAGAAGTGAGCAATTCTTGTATTCCGCTCTGCTCCATATGTTCATGGTATGCCGTTCCCTGCGGAGACTTCTTTCAGAAATTGGTTGTGAAGGACCTGCTAGACTTCTAGAAGCAATCATTTTCCACACATCAAATGAGACATTCACTGCACTGTGCCACATCTTCTCAATCCATGAATCCTGTTGAATACCCCGCAGGTATTTATAGTCCCATCATCCTTGTGCCACGCCATCTGCAGGAGTTAGTACCACTTTAAACATGCAAGATGACTAATTTTTTGTCTGGGGAGCTTATTTGAGCTATGATATGAGTCTGTTGCATTTTTTTACAAATTGTGAGATTCCATGTATTTTGATATATTGTATTTGTTTTTTTACTTTTGACTCCATATAAGGATTTCCAAAAGAATACTTTCCCTGACAGAAGCTTTGATCACACCAGAATGAAAAAAAAGACTTATGGTGTTATGACTGTGTCTTTCAGGGTTCCTGATCGGCTATCTTGCTCATCCAAAGACAGACAGAATCTCTCCGATCTGCATAGAGTCCGAGTCCTCTGAGGACGATGGTAATGGCCCACTTGAGACGGATGTCTTCCTGGACTGGAGCAATCTTACAGCCTTTTTAAAAACCACACTGACCACCAGCAGCATTGAAAAGAGTCTCAGGTAAATGTTCTAGAGCCAGACCGATATGAAAATTGTGTCAGCGATACGATACTGATTCACAGAACTAAAAATTCTGACAATATTGGCTGATATAATTTTTAGGGTTTTGAGAATAAATGTGTTAATAATGTGTTAATAATGTGTTAATATGATAAATTATTAGCGTCACAATTTTTTACTCTGTTAACGCATTTTCCTAGTGTGACCCTTCAAACCATACATAGTCGGTGTATACTGCTTTGATAGAATCTGTGATTGTGTATCTCATTCAAATACAGCTTTCAAAGCACTACAGACTTCAGCACACTAAGAAGACATATTAGAAGTTCTCCACTATATATTTTTATATCTCCTTCATGCAGTGTCACAATTTATGCATTGCGACATCATGATGCTACTGTATTGTCACATGCTTAGTAAATACCATGAGCTCTCACAATATTGAACCCCTAAACGAGAGCAAATATGAAGTGCATTGTCTGTTCTGCAAAACAGCATCACATACTTAAATGTAGTTCTGTTATGTAGCACAGTGCGACTTATAAAATAACTTGTAAAAGAGATTTTTAATCTCTGACATGATGAGGGCTGCATGATATGGACATAAAATGTAATGTTGTTGGATAAAGCCATTGGATCATGATGATATGAGCGATATGCTATTAATAAAATAGTGTGCCTCTGACTGGATGGACCACCGGTAGATTTATTTTCTGCTGTGTAAACAGAAATCAAACTCCTCTTTAAGTAAATTGCAACAAAAAATAAAATAAACAAATGAACAACTCACTACTGTACAAAATAAAAATAATGAAACATCAATAGCTACCAGAACTGCAAACACATCACTAATATAAAGCATTAAATGCTATTTGAATAGTGAAGGCCACCTTCATAAAGTGCTACAGTCTAAAAACATTCAGGATTCACAGCTTTTTAAATTGTGTTTGCAGTCGGACAAGAGACAAAAATAAATATATACATTTGTATTTTCAGTTTAAGCAAAATAAATAAATAAATGAATAAATAGATTTCATTCAATAAAAAGCTTCTTATGGTGATGCAGGTTTGTTGTAACAGTAGCTACTACTGCTTCATACACTCTACTATACAGTCCATGCAGTTTATACACAACACTAAGAGAGAACAGCCGTCATGTTTTAATCATTTTTACCGGCTGCTGTGTGTTTTATAATTGGCCATTTAGCTGAATGGTTCAGTTACTCTTTCCCCACATGGGTGAGGGAGTTCAAGTCCAGCACGGGGAAGCACTGGTTGGGCTTCTAATGGTACATCTCCATCAATCTATGTTACTTTGGTGCTGCACGTGAGATAATTTAATAATTTGATCATTAACGTTGTACATCACAGAGATTTATATCACCATAACAATAAAAATACTAACCTAGTTAAACAAAGGTTACATACATGCATAAATAAATAAATACATACATTTTATCGGCCAACTGATGTATTTCTGGCCCTAAAATATACTTAAGCCTGACCTTTTTTTTGTGGAACAAGTACAGTTGTTTATTTTCTCTGTCCAAACTCTGTCCACAGTTGGGTTATGACACTAAAAACCTCCCTCTCTTTATTTCAGTCAGTTCTCCAGTGACAGTCATGAGGCAGGATCTCTAGGAGATGAGAAACTGGGCGAAAAAGTTTTGAAAATATTCAAGGATTACAACATGAAGCCCTGGACTGATGAGCACTTTGTTAATGTCCAGGAGGGTCCTACACGTGGCACAAACCGAGTGACGTTCCGTGATGCAACGTTTGAAGAATCTGGTTATTTGGCCTACAGTGCAAATGGATTAGTGAAGGTTTGTATTTAAGTCCTTTTCTGTGAAGCCTGACTGTTTTTTACTGGACATGAATGAGTAAAATACACTATTTTACTACAGGGGGCAGTTTTGTATGCCTATTATGGACAAGTGGGCGACTTCAAACAGCTGCAGGACTTAAATATCAACCCCAGCGGAAGGATCGTCTTAGTCAGAGCTGGAAAAATTAGTTTTGCTGAAAAGGTTGGCATTTAATTTGTTAAATATATATATTTTATGTATATATATTTTTTAAAGCTAAACTGATGGATTTGAATTATGTCTGTTATGTGGTTTTTGTATTGAGTTTATTTCCACTTATTGAAAATTACAGGTCGCTAATGCAGCCAGTGTGAACGCTAGCGCTGTGCTGATCTACCCAGATCCTGCAGACTACACATTTGATGAGGGAACAGCTCTGTTTGGCCATGTGAGTTCCTGCCTGAACCTTTTATTCTTCAGTTTCAGGTAAATGCAAAATTATAAAGATACACACCGATCAAGCATAACAGTATGACCACCTCCTTGTTTCTACACTCATTGTCCATTTTATCAGCTCCACTTACTATATAGGTGCACTTTATAGTTCTACAGTTACAGACTGTAGTCCATCTGTTGCTCTGCATACTTTGTTAGCCCCCTTTTACCCTGTTCTTCAGTGGTCAGGACCCCCATGGACCCTCACAGAGCAGGTACTATTTGGGTGGTGGATCATTCTCAGCACTGCAGTAACACTGACGTGGTGGTGGTGTGTTAGTGCGTGTTGTGCTGGTCTGAGTGGATCAGACACAGCAGTGCTGCTGGAGTTTTTAAACACCTCAGTGTCACTGCTGGACTGAGAATAGTCCACCAACCAAAAATATCCAGCCAACAGCGTCCAGTGGGCAGCATCCTGTGACCACTGATGAAGGACTAGAGAATGACCAACACAGACTGTGCAGCAGCAGATGAGCTATCGTCTCTGACTTTACATCTACAAGGTGGACTGACAAGGTAGGAGTGTCTAATAGAGTGGACAGTGAGTGGACACTATTTAAAAACTCCAGCGGCACTGCTGTGTCTGATCCACTCGTACCAGCACAACACATAAAATGGACAATGAGTGTAGAAACAAGGAGGTGGTCATAATGTTTGATCGGTGTATATGCCTAATTAATAACTCATTTTACTTACTGTTTGTAATTGTGCTGTTATTTCATTTTAGAGGTGTTTGGCTCATCTTTCTTTTGTAACTGTACTGTGTATAAAGATTATTAATCATGACTGGCAAATTTTTGGCTGATTTTAACTTTTTATTTAAACCTGAAGCACACACTGTGAAAAAAACCCTTAGCTTTCCTTTTTGTCAGTGTTTAACTGTACATGATTCTGTTCTCTTGCAAACACAGTTGATTTTGCAAGGGAACGCAAAACTTTTGTGAGGGATTGAAAAAAAATTGCAGGGGAAGATAGAAGCCTAAAGTTAGCACAATGGCAATCTTCTCAAAAAACATTAAACAAATCTGAGATGCTCAGTCAGGAGGCTTTCGATGGTTTCACATGGACGGACCCAACACGGTAAAATTCAAGAACCCAAAAAAGGTTCCTTCATAAGCTAATTGTAAACTGCGTTTACCATGAACTAATCAAGTTTTATGTTTTTCCACAGGTCCATCTTGGCTGTGGTGATCCGTACACTCCAGGCTTTCCATCTTTCAATAACACTCATTTTCCTCCAGCAAAGTCTTCCGGCCTGCCAGCCATTCCTGCTCAAACCATTACAGCCAGCACAGCTGGAGCCATCATGAGGTACAGCAAGAGACGCTGATGATTTCAGTTTTACCTCACCAGTAATATTATTCAGTAGAGATGACAGGATATTGGTCTTTCTTTATGATACCGATACAGAAACTTTGAGTAATGGCTAATGTCAATTAGGGCCCGACAGATGTGAACATTTTGTTGCCGATACCGGCTTACAGTTCTGATAAACTATTATATTGTCCAAAATGATTTTATATTTAGATTCTGGATTTCAGTTATATATTCCACCTGTTTTAGTTAAGTAATGCTTTACTGTCCGATTGTCAGATCGCAACCGTCGCATTTTGTAAACTCAAACAGCAAAAACTCAGTCTTAAATAAAATAAACACTGTAGCTGTACTACTACTAGTACTACTACTAATAATAATAGTAATAATAGTAATACATTTAATTTATATATCATATTTCTCAAATTCAAGAACGCTTCACAAGAGCAAGAAAATACACAATCAACAATAAATTAAACAATACACAACACACCCACACACACTCCCCAGTTGTAGGGGAAGGTCCCTCTTCCCAGGGACCCTGCAACTATGGTGTAGCGCCACACAGACGGGAGGTTTGGGAAGCCGCATAGCCTGGAAAAAGTCCCTAAAATCAAGGACGTGTTTAGAATTTGTTGGCCTCTAATACCAGCGTGATATTTCTTTCTTTTAAAACCTGCAAAACTGTAAAATGATTTATTTTTAACTGAAGCATCTAAAGGAGAACTCCATCAAGTATTCAGAATTTCTGCATAATTCAGTTGCTGATGTGAAATGGTTCATTTTAAAGAAGCTTTTCAAATCTGATTCTGTGCAGTGGTGGTGATACAAACCAGGGGTCACAGTGTCTACAACACAACTATAGCCATTTTATTAACTATCCAAAACCACCATGCGTCTTCTGAGTTTAAATATATATACACATATATATGCCTTCCACCCAGTTGCTGCTGGGATAGGCTCCAGCACCCCCCCGCCAGCCCCCGCCCGGTGAACCAGAAGGATAAGCGGCGTACAAAATGTGTGTGTGGTGTGTATATATATAAACTGCAATGATGTGCAAATCTTTTGAGTCGTTAAGTTTCTGTAAAACAAAGAATTCACATCAAACTACTCTGAGTGAGTGACCTTATGCTGTTACAGTTGAATTATGCAGTAAGAAATACACAGCTTACATTATGCAGTATTATATAAAACTATAGCCTTTTTATTCTTTCACAAAAAACAACAAAACAACCCCAGAAAAAATCACTGACAATGCAAATGTGTGAAAAATTGTTGTTCTAGTATAAAACTTAACTAGTTACTTCTTAACATTAGTCTGCATGTGGATACTTTACATTGTTTATGTTATGATGTATTACAAGTAGTTCTGTGATGTATCAGGTTAGATTTGTTACAGAATTGGATTGGATTCTTTTTGTCCTCTGATATCCGATCCAGCATTTCTGCTGCTATCAGCCCGTCACTGATACTGGGTATCAGATTGGTGCCACCTCTATTTTTTAGGTGTTTCTATACATTGGTCTTCAATTTATGCTGTTTCATTTCTCTGAGCAGGAAAATGGAAGGTCCCGATCCTCCTCGTGGGTGGGGTGAGGGAGGTCTGCCAGATGTATCATACAAACTTGGTAGAGACAATGACACAGGCTCTGTGGAGGTCAGCAATGTCCTTGTGGGTAAAAAGATCCTTAATGTGTTTGGAGTCATCAAAGGTTTTCAGGATCCAGGTAAACTGGCCCAGCATGTACAGTCATGCTGCTTCACTCTGCACATTGACTCACATCAAGTAGGTTCCTTAATCTCTCTTAACCCTCTGGTGCAGATCGCTATGTGGTGATTGGAGCTCAGAGGGATGCCTGGGGTCCTGGATATGCCAGCTCTACTGTTGGCACCAGTTTGCTGGTTGAGTTAGCCAGGACCTTTAGCGAAATGATAAGTAAAAGTAAGTAGAGCTTTAAAGTATTGTTGCATTTTTACTGGTGTACACTTACAGACTGTAGCTGTAGGTGTCAAACTCTAGACCAGGGGTGTCAAACTCACTGAGTAAAAGGGCCATATTAGAAAATCTCAACAAAATCTGTGGGCCAGAGAAAAAAATGTTTTTATTTCATTTTTAATGAATGTAGTGCTGTAACCCAAACTGACCATTGTTTATTCAAAATACGCAAACACTTCAACAGTAAAATACAGACACTTGTAGTAGACCTTGAAATATTACATGAATACTTGAAATATCCAAAATTTTAATGTACCCAGGCCATAAAGGGTACTTGGGCTCAATTTCTGAGCTGCTGACAGTTTGTATTATAAACACAATATAGTATTTATACTGGTTGAACTGCAGCTGAAATCCAGCCAGTGTGTTTGGTGATATGACTGATGTGGAATTGCATAGAACTGTGTGGAATTGAGGTCTAACTCCTGCCCCTTAGGTTGTTCTTGGGGTAAGAGAGTCGGAGTACACATAACATTGCAGTGCATGCTGGGGACTGTAGTACAGCGCATTGTAAAACAGGCTAATATTAATGGAAAATTAAAAATACTTCTGCGGGCCGGAGAGAACCATGTCGAGGGCCTGATCTGGCCCATGGGCCTTGTGTTTGACACATGGGCTCTAGACACTAGGGATGCAGCAAAATTTTGGCCACCGAGACATGTACAAAAATGGCATTTCAGGTTTTGACTGAAATAGGAAAAATTGATACTTATTTATACTTAACATATTTAAATGGTAGTAAAAACAAGACGAAGTGAATAAAAACTTTGTTCCTTCGCTGTCCTGCGCTGGTCAGCACACATGCGTTCAGAATGTTTGAGCAGAAAATCAACAGTGGAAAAATGTCAGCCGTGTGGAACTATTTCATAGTTTCTATGAGGGACATCAGCCAAGAGATTTCTAATCTCTGCTCATGCACAGTGTCAAGTGTAGATACAACACCCATGAACTTCACTACAGGTTTGATACCCATTGAAAACTTCCTGCTCGATACACACAACACAGTAAAACAACAGAAGCTCAAAGTCCCTTTGAGCACAAGAAAGCCTTCTGTACAGTCTGTTTTTGAAATGATTAGAAAAGTCACGTAAAACAGCCAAATTGGAAAATATAGCTAAAAATAAAATCAATTCTTTTGGATAAGCAACTGTTCTCCACTGTCGAGGACGTTGGATTTCAGAAACACATACTGTAGCTTACCTACTGTAATAATTATGTAAAATTTATTTAATGCAAACTGTTTTTATTTATTGTTCAGCTCAGTTTTGTCCTATTAAAAGCAGGTTTTATAAAAAATGAAAGTGAATTTTCTTTATTACCTTGTAAGTTTTAGTGTGTTATTCAAAAACATAAGCAAAACAAATAAAATACCCTTTTTTCGGTTTTTGGTCATACATGTCTTGAATTTCAGTTTTAAATTTTCATTTCAGCGCGTCTGTAAAGTGACAGAATGAATCCGACGCATGCGAAAAGGAAAAAGAGTCTTTACTGGTTGAATCGTGATCCAGAGTCGTCGTCAAAAAACAGGCACAGGTCAAATCCAAAACAGACAAGAAGTACAAACAAACATAACACCAGGCAGAAGATCAGTCAATACCGGAAACAACTGTACAGTCAATACCGGAAACAACTGAACGCTCAGTAGCTCTATGAAAGACGCAATACCTCGCAATGAACTAGTCTAAAACCTGGGCTTTATACTAACACTAACTAGACATGTGATAACAGCAACAGGTGAAACAGATCAGTATTCTGGAGAAAGAGAGCGGTGATTGGAGCGCAGTGGAGGGTCAGGAGTCACGTGATCCCCCAGAGGATTCTGGGAGATGGAGTCCTTGGAGGCCTCAAAGCCAGAGGCCTGTTCCAGACACTAACCCTCACATTCCCAGCTTCCAGACTCCTTAAATTCATTGTTATACATATGGTACCTTATCAGGAAACAATGATACTGTACAGGTACAAACAGTGGTCAGGACAGGGTGTGTGGAGGCTTACAAAAATAATTGCAACAGAATTACAGTACAGTTACTGCATGTTTGCACTTTACAATTGCAATTCACTTTCCTCCTCCAGCTGGATTCAAGCCGAGGAGAAGCGTAGTGTTTGCGAGCTGGAGTGCTGGAGAATATGGTGCTGTGGGCGCCACCGAGTGGCTGGAGGTTTGAAAACCTTTTCTGTTTACTTATTTTCCTTTGTGTACTGTACAGTGTATAGTAAGAACTGATCAGTTCAGCATTTGGTTTTGTATCCACAGGGCTACCTGTCTTCTCTGAATATGAAAGCTTTCTCCTACATTAGCCTGGATGGAGTTGTCACAGGTGTGTATGTGATCTTTTGCTTAGCGATGAAAATAATAATAAAAAAAAATTTGTATGTTAAACATCTTACACTTTGCACAGGTCCTTTTTTTAAAGCAAGTGCAAGCCCACTGATGTATGACTTAATTCAGAGTACTCTGAAAGAGGTGAGATTGCTACATGGTATTTTTCTTTGTTTCTATGTGTTTATGTGGGGCAGGCAATTTAAGAGGTGGGTAATTCCCTCTTTTTTTCACTGCAGGTGTCCTCGCCCACTAATGGCAGCATGAGTTTGTATTCACAAGTGAATGGAAGCAACTGGGAAGCTGCTGTGTATGTGTGTTTTCTGCTGCTCAGAAGTTCAAACAAGAGCTTTTTCAACAAAGAGGCTTCATATGTTGCAGGATGGTATGGTTGACATCATGGGACCTTTTTTTCAGGTTGGAACCAATGAGGATGTCTGATCCTGCCTATCCATTCCAGGCTTTCTCTGGCATCCCCTCTGTCTCATTCTGCTTTACCTCAGTGAGTATTATTACTTTTCCTGAGCTACTTTTGTAAACTAAACAAATTATTAATCGTATTCCACGTCTGCTGTAAGTTTAAAGCTAATTCGATGTTGTCAGGAATAGTGTTGCAAAGAACTAATGCATTAGTAATAGAATAACATGATAAACAAGCCAAAAAACTAATGTCTAATTATTGAATTCTAATATTTACAGGTTAATTCTGTGTTGACATTTATATATTGTGTTGTGCCTATAAGGGAATCAATTTGCATATGCTAATTTAACTCATTTTGGTAGAGCTCTCATTAGTAAATCCAAAACACTCAGATAAAGAGTTTCATTCAGTAATACCTCATTTCTTCTGAATGATAATTTTGCAGCACAAGCGAAAAACGTCCCTAATGTCATTGAGAGGTGGGGGGGGGTCTACACTTAGAATAGGGCTGCAACTAATGATTATTTTTATTGTCGATTAATCTGTTGATAATTTTCTCGATTAATCGATTAGTTGTTTGGTCTATAAATTGTCAGAAAATGGTGAAAAATGTCAAACAGTGTTCAAACCCCAAGATGACGTCCTCAAATGACTTTTGATGTCCACACCATTAAAGATATTCAGATTCAGTTTGGTGTGTCAGAGGAGTAAAGAAACCAGAAAATATTCAAATTTAAGCAGCAGAAATCAGAGAATTGTAACTTTTATCGATAACCAAAATAGTTGATGATTAATTTAATAGTTGACAACTAATCGATTCATCGATTAATTGTTGTAGCTCTTAGAGAATCCCTCCAAACGTACCACAGCGGCAGCTCACAATCATTATATAGCTAACAAAGATATAGTCGATTTCCAAACAGATGAAAGATTACATTACATAAATGTGAAAAGAGAGCCATGTTTCACTAGCAGTGGTCGCTATTCTCACATATTCACGTCTGAAACTGATATAGACCACCTTGGTTTTTGTACACTGTAACTGCTATGAGAGCTCAATGGCTTCAAATTACATTGCAAGTGGCAATCATCGGGGTCCAAGCACTAGGTGCCTTACAGAACCAATAGAACGCTAATGATGTATTGGGAACAAATAAAGTTTTTAAATTGGACTGTTTATAATATGTGTGGGGTCTCAAAAGAAGATGTCTTACCTTGGTATGGTAAGCCACAGATTTTTAAAAAAATAAGTAAATATACCTAGAAAACAGTGCAGTGTTTGGACATGACTTGTTGCACTTGTCCCGGAAACCTGTTCACATAGAGTTTACCTAGTGAACCAATACTCATTTCTTATTGTAATAACTCAAAATTATAGGCTTAAACAAAGTGCCACATGTTTTTTCTGTTGTGGTAATTTAGCTCTTGGTGAACAGTACCTCAGTTTGTCAGGATATTCCCAAACATTTTAGTGTTACTCTACACATTTACAGGCCACATTTAGGAAGATTAATAGACTATTAGGCAATTAATTCACATGAATAATGTATCAAAATATTCATTTTTGTAGCCCTAGTGAATAAGAGTTCTGTTTAGCCAACCATTGTGTCATTTCGACCATAAAGATGTTTTTATTCAATACTTGTTAAATCTTCCCTTCAGAAGATGCTGAATGGGGATGTTTTTAAATTTATTTACTTACTTGTTTGATATATATTTAAATACTTTTTGCTTTGATAAACACTGAATTTGAAAAACATTTAAAACTTGACTATTTTTCTGTGTTTAATCTAATAATTGTGGGCTTTTTTTGCCTTACTATTGTTTTTTTTATTTTTTATTGACGATCATGGTAGTATAATTGGTATCAATATTAAGCCAAAACCGTGACAAGCCCTAGTCAGGTTTTACATTTGTCATGGGATGGTACCTGAACTAAAATGCCATCTGCTTTTTCTTTTAGGATAAAGGATATCCATTCTTTGGCACTATGCTGGACACCAAGGAGAATCTCTATAATGCAACGTCCATGAACTTACTTGTTTTGACCACAACAGCAGGAGAGATAGCTGGGCAGATGGCTCTTCGGCTGGTCCATGACCATCTCCTCGGACTGAATGTGGAGGCATACAGCAGCATCGTCCGCACCAATGTGGCCCATATCAACAAGGAAGTCATCAGTCTGCAATCGGTGAGGTTTCCTGACTAAACGAAGGACATATCTTCACTAAACTGGGTCAATCTATGTGAACTCACTGATGGTCTCCTGACCTCAGATTTGCTTAATTCTTTCATGAACTAATCTCATTGTGCCCAGCAGATGGTGTGAAAAAGTTTAGGCATATATCTTCATTAGTTTCTGAGATACAGAGACTTTAAAAGTAGACATGGTCTTAATTTTAGCCTTAAAATAAGTGCCATGTAAAAAGGTGCTAATTTTGATTATTCATCTCTCTTGAACTGTAGACGCTAGAGGCTTGAGCTTTAAGCGATTATTCTTTGGTTTAAGTTGTGTTTAAGGCCCAGTCCCATGTCATTCCTCGCCCCGTACCACTTACTGTTTTGCACGTTCAGACACAGGGGTAGGGTGTCCTGATTTTAGTTGAGATAGAGGGGTAGGGTGAAGTGTTAGGTTTTTCAGAGACTAACTCCAAACAGAGTGTTATGAGGAAAAAAAGAAAAACCAGCAAGGTGGCTGAACAAGTGACCAAAAAAACCGACCAATATGAGTCTTTTCTCGTTAAAAAATTATGATAACCACTGTTTTACTTTAGTTTAATATGGTTTCAGTGTATTATGGTCCTGTTCTTCATAACAAGCATTAAAAACTGCTAGTAGTGCTGATGTCTCAGTAGCTAGCTAGCTAAATTTCCTGTTCCACCTTAAATGGTGCTGCAGTTGCATTCTGGTGCTTCAGGCATTCAGAACTGCTGCACCATTTAAGGTGGAACGGGAAAATTCGAACAAGAAGCTGGCGAATAGCTGACTTCAGCTTCATATCACTGAAGAATTAGGGGTGGGTGATAATAAATAATTCACATCCCCCCTCTTTGAATATGATGCCCTAAATTTAACTAAAGCCCAGCAGTGAGGAGCTGAACTGTACCCTCCTCTTCTGTCACTGCAGACTGGCAGGGTCGCCTACAGAGCAGCGCTAGTAGCTGTTAATGAAGTAATGCTCTTTTTTATTTGAGGGTCCCATTTCGAAGGTGAAGATTTACACCACTAACCCTTATAACTCAGTTCCAAGGGGCAAGGTGACACTGAAAAACAGGGGGTAAGGGTAAAAATTAAAAATGGGATTGGGCCTAACTCTCTGCACAGAAGACAGAGGGATGCACGTGTGCCATCTTATGTGAAAAATTTCAGATTCCCGTCTGATCCACACCAAGCCGATATTATTTCCAAAGTCTGAAACCAAAAGTGAGATAATAATACGACACTTTAGAGTACATCATCCAACCGAGTACAATGAGTAAGAGAAGCTAACAGAACTGGCAGAGACGGATCACACGACACTGACTATAAGCTACCAAACAGCGGAGACGATGAGTGGATGCAGGAAAGCCACAACGAGAGTTCACTGCAATGTTAGGGTTGTTAAACCGATTTAAACCATGTTTGGTGTTTATACCTGTGTAATTAAGTGTTGCATCAACCCATCTTCGCTCCCGATCGGAATCGGCATGGGCCAGTGTTCCTAAAGGACTATTGGCAATCAGTATCAAACAAAAAATGCTTATGAGTTCATCTCTGTAGGTGATGCCACTGTTGCCAGTCATGCTAGTTATGTGCAGTTTTTTGCTCAAACTCAGAATACTCTTATTAGCTTGCTAACTGCACTAAAATGGAGGTTTTACACATTTCTTTTTTGACTGTGGCTTTATGAAGTGTTAAAACTGAAAACATCACACCTCAATTTCAACTGCATGTTGCTTATATCATTCAAAATCTAACTTAAAATGATGTAGACCTTTGGAAAGCACACATTTCAACAAAACCCTCTATCTCCATTTTTGTCGTTTTTCAGTTTTTGACATAATTTGAAAATGTCTGTTGCCCTTTACATTGTCTGTAAATTCCATGATGAATGCGTTAAAAGAAATTAGTTGGAAAAACGTCTGGTTCCATTGACTTGCATTAAAAGTAAAGATCGTTTTTCCTTCTCCTGTAAAGTTATCAATTTGGAGATGCAAGGTTTTTTCCCGACAACAGCGAAATATACCTCAGGTCTTCTAAACATCTCTCTTCTTTCAGTCTGGCCGCCTTCCGAAGATCCTGAAGCTGCAGTGGTTGTTTTCAGCTATGGGCTCTTACAGTCGCGCTGCCAGTAAACTCACCTTCAGCATTAAAAACAGCAACCTGAAAGACACTGAGCAGTGTCGCATCATCAATGACCGAATTATGAAGGTGAGTCACTCATTACTAAAAAAGATATTCCTGTTGTTTCCTTTAACGACAAAGAAAAAGTAATTGAGAATCCTTGCTTTATAAAGCTTTGTACCTTCCAATACTTCACAGACAGAATAAGCACAGATTGTTTATTATATAATGGTTTGTCTTAGAATAGATAATTTCTGCATAATTCAGTGGTTAAGAGTCATTCAGAGTGGTTTGATGTGAGATGCATCATTGTAGAGAAACTTACAGACTCAGATTTCTTTAGAGTGGTAGTGATAGGAACCATGTCCACAGCACAAATATAGACATTTTTTTTAATATCCAAAACCACCAGTGACCCTAAACGTGTTTTAACGAGTTTTATATGTCATGTTGATGATGGTAAAATAATAGGAAATCCGCAAAAAATGAGATTTCTTTAGAGGACTATTTTGCCTTATGACACCCTGCATGTACCTCTTTGCCATTAATGGCTTCAAAAAAATACGTTTTAGGCCGAAAGCTGCTTAAAGATATTATAAAACAATGTGAATAACCATTTTAACGATTAACTATGCAGCTTTTAGTGACATTAATCTCTTCAGATCTGGTTCTTGTCTCCACCACTGTGAACAAGTCTAACTCTGACTTCAGTTTCTGATTCTGATTCTCACTTCAGCTTCTCTAGAACAGAGCATTTCACATCAAACCTCTCTGAATTGTTTACATCTTCTAATTATGCAGGATTTTGTAAACATCAGTGGAATTCAGTAGTCAGTAGTCTGTATTAATAAGTTACTAAAAATCATTGAGCGGTTCGTAGAATAGGCCTAATCTTCCATTAATATGTTGCTTGGCAATCATAGCTTAATGAATTACATTGCTTGATGGAAAAACTGGTCATTACGATTATAATTAGTAATACATTAATCTAATAAGCTTAAATCAGCAGTGATTTTTACCACAGTTAAGGGAGGTTGTTTGGCATGATGCAATGTGTTGTAAAACAGCGACAAAACGCAACATGACAAAATTTGATGTGTGTGATTATATGTGTGTATATCAAGCATTTTACAGTAGCTTTGGACATTGCTCAGTGGCTCAGCCAATAAGATTTAAGAACCAGAACAATCCGTTTTATAATGTGTTTTATTGCCATTTTATAAAATCGCTGCTTTGTATCGTGCAAAGCAATATTCTTTAAATGAAGCATATCCTGCCTTCTTCTTGTATGTACACTTATAACATTTGTGTGGGTTTATGTACTAAAAAACAGTCAGTCATTTTTTCATTTTTACATGACTACTTTTCAACCTCTCCTTATCCTTAGAATTAAACGGGCTGTTTTTGTTACTGTTTCTTTAAGACTGATACATGTAAAAGACCTCTGTTCTGATTGGCTGCTCTGTTTTGTGCCTCATTCAAAAAGCAGTCCAGGCTGAAACACTCATTATAACCTCAGCAGGGCTAAAGAGCTGCAGGTTAAATAGGCAGGTTGAACAGCCTAAAAACATGATTTTCACAAAAAACGTGTGACCGTGTTCTGTTTCATGTCACGTGTGATGGCGTATTTTCTTGTAAACATGTTTCTTAGACATTTTACATATGAAGTAATTAGTAACACCTCTATAGAAAAAACACTTGCATGTGGTATTTTTTTGACTAATATTAGTGCACAGTTTATATTTACTGGTTGAGTTTAACATATTGGAAAAAAAATAAAATGTTATTGTTTCATGTTTGTTGTTTTCCAATATGTTAATTTCAGCAAATAATCAGTAATTGTGCATTACAATGTGCAGAAGTGTGTTCTTCATAGAGGATCTGTTAGCTTGTTTTCACTTAGAAAAATCAACAAAACATGACATTTGACCAGGGTTGCATACAACCTTATGTAAAAGTGTTGGTTTTCATGATATCACAAAACCTGTGAATTCAAAACGGGCTGTTTCCGCACCTTAGTTTCCATAGACTGGTGAGTGAACGGTAGGTTTTAAAACGTTAATAATGTTTTACATGCTACACTATTTTTTTTTTTCTTCAAAATATTGACCCTTTAAACATTGTAAAATCTCTGTACCGTGCAGCCTCTGGTTGCGTTCATATGCTCATTGTGCTTGTTTTCTGTGTTTACAGGTGGAGAGGGATTTTCTTTCTCCTTATGTTTGTCCACTGGAGAGTCCATTCAGACATATATTGCTGGGCTCTGGCTCACACACTCTGGGAGCTTTGCGTGCACACCTGGCTGCGATAAAGGAGGGCTCTGCCAGTGCTGATACTGACCTGCTGAGGAACCAGTTTGCTCTGGCCACCTGGACCATCCAGAGCTGTGCCAATGCGCTGGCAGGCAGTGTGTGGGACATAGACAATGAAATTTTGGTAGAATGAATGTCTGAAAGTCCGACTGCACTTTTGCACAATTTCATTAGAATGCCTTAAAGTGATACTGTGCTATACTTCACTGCAGTAAGCAGACAGCTGCACCTCGGATGACAGCATTATAGACTATGGAAGGGTCTTGAGCCCCTGCCCCTTTGCCCTTAGATTGTACAAATGCGCTCTCGGTCAGCGTGTATAATAATTGTGTTTTATACGGCCAGTCTTAAAGATCTGTTTCAGCGAGGCGAGGCAAGGCCGCATCCTGGTAATAGAGCTAGTGGGTCAGCTTACTGCAAGCTTTACAACTCTAACCCCTCTGGTGCAGTACTGACCGCCTGTGGAGATTTCTCATCTAATCTGTTACAGATCACTAAGAAAGCGTCACATCCCATAATGTGGTTTATTTTTGAAAAACAATTTAACAGAACATGTTGGCAGAACACGCAGTCATATGCAAAAGTTTGAACACCCCAGTCAAATTACACGTTTTCTGTGAAAATATGTGAAGATAAGTATGACATTCTCTATAGTGAACATACTTAAATATTATATTTTTCTGCAATTTTGGTGCACGATTTATGTTTATTTGCTGAGTTTAACATATTGGAAAAACGTAAAACATAAAATGTGCAACAACTGTGCACAGTCCACATTTTATATTTTGTTGTCCAATATGTTAAATTCAGTAAATAACCATTAATTGTGCATTAAAAAGTGCAGAAGTAGTTGTAGTATTCGTACAAACACACAGTAGAGGTGTACAATGCACATATTTTCTAGTCTGAGATAAATTAGTTTGGCCCACGAAGGCTGAACCGAAATGAGACAGTCTGCCCTACAGTGGATTTTCTGTTTGCGTCACAGCACAGCTGTTCCCGCCCTTACAGTTGCATCCGAAACGCTGCTCCTGTAAAGTCCTTTTAAAGTTCTTTAAAGATGGAGCCGGAAACTTTGATTTCAGTTGTTTATTTTTCCATTTATTAGAGCTGGAGATGCTTCACCGCGGCTACTGATGATTACATTTTTATCGTTAGCCATTCGCCTCAGTTTAAACCCAATACTTATATTTAAAAGTGTCTCTTCAGCCGGAGTTCGCTCCTCTGCTGACACCGCCATGTTCTCAAATCCTCGCCGGCAGGCAGTGAACTTCAAGATATGTTGGCTGGTGAAGGATCCACCCGCTGGATCCTTCATTGCCATGGAAAAGAAGGACACATTTCTCGGCCGCATATGAAGGAAAATGGGACAGTCTAGTCGCACCGCTGTGACGCAATCGGCCTTCAAATGAACTGGGACACACTGTCTGAATTCAGTTCATAAAGGCCTATTTAGCTGATGAGCTGAATCAGGTGTGTTTAATGAGGTAGCGTGCTGTCGTGTTTTGGCCCATCAGGACTGGAGCTTGACACACGTGCATTATAACATAAGCTCCGCCCCTCTCCGCCCACTTTACTCTGATCACCCTCATAGCTAGTTTTGGTCAGTGAAAGTGGGTTCCGTGAAAGATGATAAATGAGAGACCCTCGGAAGAAACCGAGGGCCGTATTGGCCATACAGGTTTAAATTTGATTTTTGATTTTGTTTTGAAATAGTTGACCCCTTAAAATCTTATTACATACATATTACATGCATACACAGTCTTATTACATGCTAAGGCTTATTATTCAGTAACTACAGGGACTTCAGTGCAAACTGGTTGAGCTTTTCTTAGGTTATAGAAGTGTGTAAGAAAACTTTGGGTCTGCTGGTGGGCCCTGGCCATTTAAGGGGTTAAAATAGTATGGTGGGGTCCAAAAGTCTGAGACCACTAATGAACATGTTTCTGTTTTGCATTCCTTTCTAATTTAATACAAACTTATCAGAATAGCAGCTTGAGTGAAAAGTACAATCTTTGAAATGTTCATTTCTTTCTGTTTAGAGCAGAATGTCCTCCTTTTACTTTAACGACAGCGAGCACTCGAGCTAGACTCCACAAGTTTACGCAAAAAACCTCTGATAAGTACATCAGATTCACCTGAGGGTCGACTGACTGAGTCGCTTCTGTGGAAGAGAAAGAAAATTCTTGTTTTTTAAATCTAGAAAGAAAGGCCTTCACATCAGTGTTACACATTTACCTACATTAGAATAGTGACCTAGAAATATTTCAGAATATTTCTGTTTAATTTTACTTATCCTGACTTAATTTTGTTTCAAATTTTTGTTTAAAGTTTTTTTCCCCGGTTTAAAAAAAACACAGATTTTCAGTGTGGTCTGACTTTTGGACCCCACTGTATGGAGTGCAGGAGGAGGAGCAGGACCATTAAAGTGCCTTAACGTATCCTTTTAAGAACGACATCCATAGCAGATAGGCGGTAAAAGACTTTACTCAATGCAAAAGGATATTTACGAGGAAATTTGTAATAGTATCTTTAGTATTTTTCCCTGTAATGTGAAAGCACACACACACACAAACAAACACACATACACATACACACACACACACACACACACACACACATACACACACACACACACACACATATATATATATATATATATATATATATATATATATATATATATATATATATATATATATATAGCTACTGTTGGAAGAAAACCTCGTATCTCCATTTTTGTCATTTTTCAGTTTTTGACATAATTTGAAAAGGCCTGTTGACCATAGTTACATTGCATGTAAATTTTATGATGAATGGACCAAAGGTAATGGCTCAAAATGACTTACATTAAAAGTAAAGTAGGTTCTTTCCTTCTCCTGTAAAGTACCATTTTGGAGATACAAGGTTTTCTCCCGACAACAGCGAAATATATAATTTTATTTTTTTAACATATATGTCTGATGTCTGAATAAACACAGGCTAAATTTCAGTACAGATTCAACTCAGGATGGACGGTGTGTTTGAAGCTGGTGTTTAGCTGTGAGTAGTCATTCTTAAATATGCTTATATATACTTAAATATGCTTTATATATTCTAAAAATATATAACACTCATGACGACTGTGGAGTTCTTTTAAAATATGCTGATTTCCAAAGGCCTTTTGACTGTGAGGTCAATGCAAGCAGGAGTGACTAGGATGTCAGTAGGATGTAAAGATGAATGTAAGGGAAAATTACAGAAAGCTTTTTTATTCTGGACTCTGAGTATTTCTGAGTATTTTTAAATTGATTTGGCAGTAATGGCACTTTTTACAGTCTGATACACACTGATGACCTGTTGTAGCATTATAATTCAACTGGATAGGACTATTTTACAATGGCTCATTAAGCAGGACTAAACTTTTTAAAGATTTTGTCTGTTTTTTCAGTTTTTTTTTAATTTAATATGCATCCAGTGCATAGATCCACTTCAGATTAACACACATAATGTCTATTGACTTTGTACTTATAAACGTGAACCAAAAAGTATGTATTCATAAACGTAAACAAAGATATTGTTGAAAAAAAACTAAACTGATAGGGAAAAATATTTGGAAACTAAAAATGAATAACTTCTTCTCTTTGTTGCAAAGCTGGTGTGGACAGTTACAGCTTTGAGGTGTTCATGGTAAGAAGTGTTTCACTTGTTGCAGCTTTTTGTCATTCAGTTTTGGCTCATTCCTCTTGGCAAACTGTCTTCAATTCCCAAAAGTTATGAGGGTCCCTCTGATGGGCTTGTGGTTTCAGAATCCATACATTTTCAATGGGATTCAAGTCAGAAGATTGGCTTGGCCATGCAAGCACGTTCACCTTTGTTTTTAGAGAGTCTTGAGTTATTCTCTATGTTTGAGGTCATTGTTCTGCTGAAAAGTCCATCTTCTCCCCAGATTCAGTTTCCTGGCTAAAGAGATTACATTCTTCTCTACTACCTTCTGGTACATCTCTCCATTCAAGTTTCTTTGGATGACGTGTAATGCCCCAGTATTTTATGTGGAGAAGCAGCCCCGTATCATGATGCTCCCACCTTCATGCTTCACTGCAGGTGCTCTTGGGATCATGCGCACAACTCCTCTTTCTCCAGATACAACCAGCTGAGTTACGGCCAAAGAGTTCTGTTTTTGATTTGTCTGTCTAGAATACATTGTTCCAGTTCTGGTTTGCCGAAATGCTAAATGTTGTCCTGCAGTTCTTTTCAAGGGTCTGCTGGCTTCTCTCTTACCTTCCTTGTCATGATTCTGAGAGTCTGTTGTGAAATCTTGCATGGTTCACCTCTTCAGGGACGATTCTTCATGGTCCCGCTAACTTTCCTCTTGCATATTATTCAACTAATTGTACTGACAGGGATGTTTGCTTGGGCTCTGTAACTTTTCCATTGGAGTGTTGTTTAATCATGTTCTCCCTGAGAACTTGAGGAAGCTCCATCACCTTCACCATGATTGCTGTTTGTTGTTTGCTGTGAAATCTTCCCAACCAATAGCAACAGGGTTTATAATGACACCAAGTGCAATTTGCATTAATATCTAGAACTTGATTTATTTTTGTGTAATCTTTACATATGCTTTTTTTAATATAGTGTCTGTTTTTTTTTCTTATCAATTTTGTTTTTTAAACCTGTCCTTGTTTATATTTATGAATGCATACTTTTTTCATACCTACAAGTACAACAGGCATCATGTGTGTAAATTTGAAGCGGACAGATGCACTGGAACTGTATTAAATAACAAAAGCAAAAGTATCTGAATACTTCTAAAGTTACATACTTCTATAGTTCTATAGTTAATACTGTTTGTTGTTGCTTAACAGCTGTCGAACACAAATGAGGCATTGATTAATGAGGAACTTCAGGTAGCTCACACTCATAAGTTGTGTTCTAAGTCAGTGAGTGTGTTTACATGCACTTAATCTGATAACTGCCAGCAATCTGATCAACGCGTTTACAAGCACTTGAGAAATCAGATAAAGGGGAAACTCTGGGTCTACATGAGTCAGGCAGTAATCAGATTTCTGCTTTGCAACCAGCCAATAAACTCACAGAAGAAGACGTGACGTAAACGTAGTGTAAAACTCAAACTTCACTTTACGGCTTTTTTTAAAACATCAATAGAATAGAATATACATCATCTAGAAGATGAGGAATGTTTAAAGCCTTCATTTCGTCAAGCATGTATTTGGTTTCAGCATCTCTCCGAGAGTGTTTTGCTGCCATCTTTCACCAACACTGCTTGCTTATTTCCGGTACCGCTGTCTGTTTTCTCACATGCGCAGACTGAGAAATCCGAAAGAAATCAGAGTAAGAGTTTACATACACTGAGAAATCTGATTACTGAGCTAAAATCCAGCTCTCTGTATCAGATTTATTAATCAGCTTTCCAGACATTTTCTAAGAAATCAGAATGTGCTGTTTATAAGACCTTTGCATAATCAGATAACTGCAGAAATCTGATTATGATCGGTTTGTTGAGTGCATGTAAATGCATTCAGTGTTTTTCAGCCCTGGTCCTGGAGGCCCACAGCCCTGCACTTCTCAGTGTTTTCCCTGCTCACAACACACCTGATCACACCTGTGTTAAAGCCGGGAAAGTATTAGTGTGCAAGGCAGTGGACCTCCAGGACCACGGCTGAGAACATCATGTCTGTGTTTGAGATCAAGAAGTAAAATGCTCTGTGTAATATCTTGATCATTGTGTCTTTGTTTTATGACAGATTTGTTTGCTTTTTTAACACTTTCATGCGTTTCTGAAGGCAATTTTCTGTGATTTATTACAGCGTTTCCACAGACTGTACCTACAGAATAGTTTTACTCTGAGGTTTTGAGTGCAGAAACACAAAGCCAAATAAAGTTCATGTAGAGTCATTATGATCTTCAACACTTTGGCTCAAGAAAACTTTACTGTTCCTTTTTCATGTTGTTAAGAGAATTCTGACCTGTGTCAAATAAAATTCCTATTTTCTTGTATTAATTCAGGTCTTTTTACTGTGGTAACTTCACATTATGTTCATTTCTCAGTATAATAGTATGAAGGTCAATGTAAACATTAAAGCAGCTGACAAAAGTCAATAAGTCAGCAAGCGAGTGTAAACATTACAGCAGCTGACATAATAATACCAAGTTAATGCAGCCTAGACAGAGTGCTACATCAGTATTTCCCAGCTCCAGTCCAGTAATCCATGCAAACTGCACTCATTCATTCATTCATTCATTCATTCATTTATTTATTTAATTATTTTTTTTTAGCCAGCTGTGTTAGAGCAGGAAAATACAAACCTGTGCAGCACTGTGGACTACAGGACTCGAGCAGAAAAAGACTCAACAATAATGTAAATTTAAAGGGCCAATTTTGCATTTTCCTCATGTTTTGGAAAACAGACATGCAGTCCACTCCCCAGGCATCCAATTAATTGAGTACCCCTCATATATATATATATATATATATATATATATATATATATATATATATATATATATATATATATATATATATACACCGATCAGGCATAACATTATGACCACCTCCTTGTTTCTGTGCTCATTGTCCATTTTATCAGCTCCACTTACTATATAGGTGCACTTTGTAGTTCTACAGTTACAGACTGTAGTCCATCTGTTTCTCTGCATACTTTGTTAGCCCCCTTTTACCCTGTTCTTCAGTGGTCAGGACCCCCATGGACCCTCACAGAGCAGGTACTATTTGGGTGGTGGATCATTCTCAGCACTGCAGTAACACTGACATGGTAGTGGTGTGTTAGAGTGTGTTGTG